CTCATTCAATTAATTCAGTTCTCCCTTCGCGACAAGGCAAAAATACATAAAAACTCAAAATATTTCATGTAAAAACTGTAAAAAATATTACGAAAAACAGTAAAACACCATGTACAGTTAAAACGCTTAAAATTTTTACAATTCGAAATTAAATTCCTAAGCAAAGGATTAAGCAATGATTTAAATAGAGGGAAATGAAAGGCAGTTATCTTTTGTTGGTTGCACAAAGCTAAAAGTTTCCTTTTGGTCTTACTCGGCAAAAAGACACTGAAGGTGCAGAATAGAATCTACTATTACTAGCTGTTAAGTTTCAAATGTAATACAAATATATCCGCCATGTAAAATTTAAATAAACTTAACCGCAGTTAAAACAAGCTTGTTGAGATTGTTGATAATTCTTAAAAATATTGCATACAGATTAACTAAAGGCATAAAAACCTTAAACCGGAAGATAAGAACAACATAATTCAATAACTTTTAAAGCAAAAAATGTACAATTTACAAACGTATAAGAGTAAAGAAACTGAGATCACTGAGCCGGGTAACAGAGTGGATATATATAAATATATTTATATACGTTTTGTGCGGTCGATTGCAACCAAAATACGAGGTGCACATCTACATGTTATAACAGTACTATATACAAAATTTCAACGTTCTGAGGCTACTCGTTTTTGAGTTATGCGAGATATGTACGTACGTACGTACGTACATACGTTCGTACAGACGCCACGAAAAATTCTCTTCAGAATTAATTTTAAAGCAGTTTTATAATTTTTTTGAAGGAAAGGAGTGTTTTATTCTGTCCTTACGTACAGATATCACGCAAAAAGATCGTTAAGTTGCATTCGATAGCGGTCAAAATGGATATTTTTTTTTAAATATGCTGCCTGAAACTTTTCGCGATTACAATACTTCCTTTTTACTTCGTACAAGGAAGTAAAAAAAAAAACAAAAATATTTTCTAAAAGCTTGTTCACTTCTTAATTTGATTTGATTTGATTTATTTTATTATGGAAAGAAACTGGCTCGGTACTCAATCGAAAAACCATGAACACGTGCACGCAGCCAGCCCATTCACCTAGAATAGAACCCATATTGGAACTACCAGTGTTCAGTGACTTTACCGCTTAATCGCTGATGGATGCTCCCTTTGCGAACAGAAGATTTAAACATTTTTGATGCTCTACAAAATTACACTAAGACCCTCACAGGCGTTTTGAAAGGCAGATTCTGGAAATCTTTTAGACACACAAAAATATTTTCTTTTTGCTATCGATATGTGTCAATGAGTTCTCCGATTTTTTTTAGTCTAAAGGTCGTTACCCCAGATGGGCTATTAATTTCGTTTTGGAATTTTGCGTTGAAAACTTTAAATGTCCGTCCACTTTTCAGTTCGTTGCCACCAAATACTATCGCCCGGTGTTATATTTAAAGAAATTAAATAATGAAGAATCTGCATAAATACTATATGTATGTTTTTCACATTGTGGTAAAACAACGGCACCTAGAGCCATCAAATTTTGAATAACGCAATGTTCCATCGAATATTGGCATCTGGAAGCCCTAATTTGGAATTTGTTTTATTATCGATTTCATATTTTGGTAACATTTTAACGAATTTTTGATTAACAAACTCAACGATTTCAAAGTGATCAATGGCAACACTGTACGGGGGAAAAAATATTATCTCCAAGGCGCTAGACTGTGTATCAGAAATTCTAAAGATATGTTCATTTAAAAATTATTTTCTGATACTGCAGTTGAATTAAATTTTACGTTTAAGTGCGAAGAACATGATATTTAATAAATAAAGGTAACACATAAAATGTTAAAAAAACATCCCTTTGGGCGTAATGGAAAATCTGAAAGCTTTCAGAATTTTTGTCTTTTTTAATGATTTTTTAGTCTAAAGGAGCAATTTGACTTAAGGGACTATTATTTTCGTTTTGGCATTTTACGTTGAAAACTATAAGCGGCGAATCACTTTTCAAATTGTTGACACCAAATATTTGAGCCCTGTATTATATTTAAAGAAATTAAATAATGAAGAATCTGCATTAATGTATGTATGTTACTCGCATTGTGATAAAACAACAGTACCTAGAGCCATCAAAATTTGAATAACGTAATCTTCCATAGAATATGGGCATGCGGAAGCCCTAGTTTGAATTTGAAATTTGTTTTATTATCGATTTCATATTTTTAAGGAATTTTTTATTAACAGATTTCACGATTTCAAAACGAGCAATGGCAACACTGTACGGAGGGGAAAAAAAATATTTCTAGCGCGCGAGACTGTGAATCGGAAATTTTAAAGATAGGCTCATTTTAAAATTATTTTGCGGTATTGCTGTTGAACTGAATTTTATGGTTTGAGTACGTAGAAGATGATATTTAATAAATAAAGGTAACACACAAAATGTTAAAAAAAAAAAAGCCCCATTGAACGCCTTTAATTTAAAATCTGAAACCTTTCAGATTATTTTTTCTTTTATTTTTTCGTTATTTTTTTTAATAATTTTTTTTAGTCCAAAAGAGCAATCTGCCCTGAAGGACTATTAATTTTGTTTTGGCATTTTGCGTTGAAACCTTTAAAAAGCTGTATCACTTCTCAATTAAAAGACTGTATCATACCTCAATTAAAATCCTTTCAACAGCTCCTGGTGTGCTTCGGATAACAGAAGTTATCCGAAGCACACCAGGAGCTCACCACCGGATGTTGAAAGGCTATCTCACCTCGCCTTCTCGGAGTGCCCGACAGAAACAAGGGAAATCCTGTCGCTGCACTACCTCATCGACAGCATCCAGGATCCTGAAATACAGAAAGATCTGCGAATGGCGGATGTTAAAGATTTGAAAAGCGCTCTAGTGTACGCCATGAAATTCGAGGCAGTCCAGCAAGCAATTCGTAGACACTGTATATAGACACTGTATATACAGTGTCTCACAAAATTGATGGGACACTTGTGCTTTACAAAAGGAAACTGTAATAAAAGTAATTAAAAAAACATATAAAAATTTTTTGTGCGTGTGTTTCATACTTAAATTTAGTAACAATTATTACATAACATACATTTTCTCAAAATATTAAAATATTAATTTAAAAAAATACAGTTGTTTAGAACGGAGCAAAAAATGGCTCACATAAGTGATGGGAACACCATTAGATACTACGTACTACAATAAAAATATTTTTGGGGGTTTTTTTATTTTTACTCAAAAGCAATTGGCAATAATTTATAAAATCCTCTGCAGTATTTCTCTCCAGTTTGTTTTGGAATTTTTGTGTTTTTTAGCTCTGTGCAGCCATGAATGCTAAACGAAAAGAAACTTTGCCTGAAATTCGAAAATTAGTTATTAATTTGCATATTGAACGTGGAAAATCTATTAGAGAAACTGCTGAAACAGTTAACTTGAGTCATTCAACAGTTTTCAGTATCATTAAACGATATAAAAAGAATCATATGATTCAGGATAAAAGAAGACCTGGCCGACCATCAAAGCTATCCAATGGAATAAAGCGAATTATCGTTCGAAATATTAAAAAAAAATCCAAGAATGAGTGCTCCTAAAGTTGCTGCTGATTTACAAGCATTATATGGAGTAATTGTTAATCCTGAGACTATTAGAAGAGTAATTCGATCTGCTGGATATCACGGTAGAGCAGCCAGGAAAAAATTCTTCGTAAGTGAAAAGAATAGAAAACTCAGACTGGCTTTCGCAAAATCCAACATAAATAAGAATTCTGATTACTGGAATGAAGTTATATTTGCTGATGAGAGTAAATTTAATATATTTGGTTCTGACGGTAGAATCTTGGTGTGGAGAAAACCCAGGGAAGAATTTCGCAAACAGAACTTGGATGCCAACAGTAAAACATGGTGGAGGAGGAGTTATGGTATGGGGGTGTATGTCGTCCGCTGGAGTTGGTAATCTTGTTTTTATTGACAGTATAATGGATCAGTACAAGTATATTAACATTTTAAATCAAAATTTGAAATCTTCAGCACGAAAATTGAACCTTCATAACGATTTTGAATTCTACCAGGACAATGACCCCAAGCACACTGCTTTGAACGTTAGACTCTGGCTGCTGTATAACTGCCTTGAAATAATAAAAACACCACCTCAATCTCCAGACTTAAATCCCATAGAGAATATTTGGAAAGAATTGGAATCAAGAATTCGCAAACACACCATTTCTTCAAAACAACAATTAAAATCGGTGCTTCAAAAAGAATGGGGGTAAAATCATTCCAGAAATCACAAAAAAATCAGTCGAATCCATCCCAAGAAGATTAAATCATATTTTAAAAGTAAAAGGAAATCCTAAAATCTTTTAAAAAGTAAAATTTTTGAATAAATATTTGATGGAAAAGTAAGTGTCTCATCACGTATGTGAGCCATTTTTTGCTCTGTTCTAAACAATTGTATTTTTATTAAATTAATATTTTAATATTTTGAAAAAATGTATGTTATGTAATAATTGTTACTAAATTTAAGTATGAAACACACCCACAAAAAATTTTTACACGTTTTTTTTAATTTATTTTACTACAGTTTCCTTTTGTAAAGCACAAGTGTCCCATTACTTTTGTGAAACACTGTATATATCAACTTATTTGTTATCCTTAGCTTTTTAATCTCACCTCAAAGGAAAATAAAATGGACGTTGAATTCAAATTAGTGTTTAGAAATTTCATTTCGGATAATAACTTATACTAAATCAAACTAAAGAATTCTCATTTTTCTTCTCTGACATATGTGTGGTAATTCGAAAAGTGCTTTTCTAATCAAAAGAAAGTAAACAGTAAACACCGAATTTTCTTTCGCTTTTTCCGCTTCGTTGACCTCGGACTTCTGCAAAACAATTCATCCAGTTTTGGCGTTAAATCTGTACGAAATAACTACAGGTCAGTTTTTCGTAAATATGAATTGGCGACGTATTTCGTTCGCCAAAGAATGACGCAACGTTTACAGCGTCTGTCAACATTTTCGTTTTCTAGTTCCAGTTTGATAGTGAAAATGGGAGCGATACGACATAAAGTAAGTATGATAATACGTATTTATATTTGCGGTATATAGTTTTCTATCTGCTGTATACTTCATTTTGATAAAAAAATTATATCACTGCTTAAAAATAATGATTAATCGATATTCTTAATATAAAAATTACGGAAAGTATAATAAATGTAAGCATAGTCGTCTGAAATTAAAAAAGCGGCATCATATTGTTATGATAATTGAAATGATTTTTTTAATGCATTTTTGTGTGAGAAATAAGAAAACAACAGAAAAATCTGAAAGAGTTTTAGATTTTAACGGTCGTCTAAAAATGATCTTTTAAAGTTTAATATGGTTTAGCAGTAGAAATTATTAATACAGATGGTTCTGGTGGAATAGTAAAACATTTTATAAGATTCTAGATGATTAACATAGGAACGTTATATATCTTCTGTATAGTTGAAAAGTGAAAAAAATAATTCTATAAAAATATTTAATGTTTTTAATTAGATGTACCGTGAATCAATCAGATTTTAAAAGTTTAAAAAAAATAATATTCTCAGGTACCTTGTTTATTGCTTGTAAATAGCTTAATTTGTTAATCAGTAATAGATTAAATTTGAAAAATAACTATGTTACATTTTGCTGCATGGCAACAGTTTCGAATGAAAAGTGGAATAATGCATTTACAGTGGGCGACGAAAAGTCTCGTTTCGAAACTAATAACCCTTTTGGAATAAAAATCAAATGTAATTTAATACAGTGTTTTTTCACTTGAAGACTAAGCTGAAAATTTGTGTTGTACATGTTTCTAGTCATAATTATAAATTCTCAGCTCAGTGTTGCTGAGAGTTCTCATTTTACAGTGAAATTTTGTTGGCAAGGTGATAATGAAAGGCTCTGAGTTTAAATACAAAGTTCTTCATAAATTGTGTTGTTTCTAATGTAGGAAGGTGCCTCGGACGAAACTACCAGTGTTCAACGACTTTACCGCTCAGCCGCCGGTCCCTTTTTTTTTTTTTTTTTTTCTAAATGGCGGGCACTTACTTGCCTTTAACGGCATTGACCACTACTAAGTGGAGGCACCTAATAGGCGGCCACTTGCCTGTAACGGCATTGGCCAATACTAAGTGGAGGCAGCTAATAGGCGGCCACCGTTACCTCCTATGAAGGGACAGACAATTTTACATCCATACCTTCTTTGGGATTCGTTTGTTTACATTTTGATAGCAGTACAGAAAAGATTATTACGTGCGTTGTATTTTTATTGCTATGAGATTACGCTTATAATTTGCTATATTGCTATGAGATTACACTTGAATTTAATATAAAAAATGCAGTGCTTTTTCCCTAGAGAGAAAAAGTATTATTTTTTCTTGTGCTAACTCCGTGCATGTGTATTAAGTGCAGAGATTTTTAATTAATGTATTAATTAAAAACGCCTCATCTTAAAAGCGTTGTGATTATTAATTCATTATTTTATGTTCATTACATATCCATTCTCTGCAGATGCAATCTTCAAAAGCATAAGACAAGTCACTTTTTGGAAATAGAAAAAATGACATTGGGAGCTAACATATAGTACAGAGTAAATTCACAAAATTTATTTTTGAAGTCAGACTAATATAAATTTGGAAAAGAGAAATAGAAATACGTATTTTGAATTGAATATTACTTTATGAATATCGCCGATTTTTTAATGTGTAACACCTTTTATAGTACCTTTGCACAAAAATAGTGTTTTGTCAGAGAAGGAAGTTTCTTTTCTTGTACAAGTGTATTAAATTCATCGACGATACTGAATGCCCTTTTTTCATTCATTTAAGGCAACAGAATATTAGAAATGACATAGACATTAACGTACAAATAACATTTGCAAAGGAAATATTTTCTGTAATGTGAAAGGAAGAAAATGTAAAAGGAAGAAAATGTAACAAAATTGCAATAATAAATATACTTTTAAGCCGCCCAGAAGTTATAGTGGTTAGGGAAGCCTGACTGAGATACCGAAGGGTCTGGGTTCGAATCCCGGAGAAGGCATGGTTGTAACTGTCCGTCCTTTCATAGGAGGCGATGGTGGCCCATCTATTAGGTGCCTCCATAATAAAGAGACTACCACATCTGGCCTTGTATAGATTAATGGACTGGCTTACACTGTAACTGTTCACAATCTGCCATTAGAATATATATATATATATATACTTTTAATAATAATATATAATATTTGAGCGATAAATAAACGCTTAAGATTTTATGGTTCCTTCAGAAGACTGCAGCTAATTTTTTTTCGATTCAAAGAAAACAAACGATAATTTTCACGCTTCCGTGTCATTCATTGAAAACAAAACAGTAAGAATATGTCTAAACGTCATTTACACGAGAGAAAATGATGTCATCGGAAAGAATGTCCAATCACAAGTACGGATTTTTTCCTATGCGCGAGGCGCGGTACAGAATGCTTATATGCGGCCGGCCCTAGGGAGTCCTGTATGAAGGCTCTCTTCTTTTTTATTTCAAACAACTGCAGTTTGCTTTGTCGTAATCTAATAAATCCAAAACCCTTTTTTACCCTACGTTTAATGTGAATACGAGTTAGTTAACTTTAAAAAGCCTTCCACAGTGGTACCCCTTCCCGTAAGCTGATAACTCTTCATATACGTAATACGAATATCCTAAATTAGTATTGTAAAACAAATTTTAAAATTGCACTAACGTCTTATATATGAAACCGTCTTCTTATAATTGAGCCAATATGCGGTACGTACTAAATTTTATTATTCTCATTAGACTTGACATGCATTATATAGAGGCTGTTCACACATTTTTTAGACGATGTATATTGTATTCACAAAACTAAATTACATAAAATTCTTGTGTTTTAAATGTTCTATTTGACATCCCTTATTCTAAACTATCTTTCGACACCGCAATTTCCAGTATAATAATGCCTTTTGAAGTGGCAGAAGAGGTATTCTATCCCATTCCTCCCGAACAGCTTTCCAGAGTCCTGTTAGGGTTTTGGGACAACGTTTGGATAATGCAGTTTTTAAAAGTCCGAAAGCACAAAAATCCATAGGTGACACATCAGGAGATTTAGTAGGGCTATCAGTGAAGGGTATGGCCTTGATACCAGTTTTTGTTCCATTTCTTTTAGGAAATTTACAGTGGATTTTGATGTGTGACTGCTAGCTTTGTCCTGATGGAGTCTCACAGATTGATGGCACTGTGGAAGCGATGGTATTTCATTCAGAAAAATTGGTGATAAAATATGTTCCTGATAGTATTTGGAGTTAATCTTGACATTTTTTTGCACTCTCTTTATTTTTAACTTGCCATTATAAGAAAAACCAACAACAATCATGAATCCCTTAGAAAAACTTTCTTTCGATTCTTTGAACCATGTACTTAATTTTTTTTCTCCCCTTTTATGATAATAAATGGCTCTTTTTTTGTTGCAATCATTTAAATACACCCATGCTTCATCTATTGTGACAATTGTTTTCCATTTTTCTTTGGATAAGTGTTTCTCATATAGAATTCTGCAGCGTGTCCTGCGTTGAGCGATATGCTTTGAAAGAAGACGATGCACATTGCGTTTTTTCGCTTTCTTAAGATTTAAATCAACGTTTATCATTTTGTTTACAGTGGACACCGAGTATTTTAATGATTTTGCAACTGTCCTTTGACTTGGGGGATTTTCGTTTAACATTCAACAACGTACCTTTGCAATAGTCCAAGATGTCCGTTTTTTCCTTGGATACTTGTTTGGAATTTTTGTCCCACTTGAGGCTCCAATTTGACGTTTTTTTTTTTTTTTTTTTTTTCCTTTCTTGTTGATAATATTACCTATCGACGCTTTAGATATCACAAAACCATGACTCTCACATCGTTTTTTGATAAAGGAGTATGCATATTTCTCTTCGGAAAGAGCGTAAATGTAGCCTTCGAACCACTGCTTTGTTAAATTCGCCATTTTGAATGAAAACAAAACTTTCAAGCCATAGACGAAAATTTTGACTTTTAAAAACATAGTGCAACTGCAGTTACTTCTTTTGCAGCAGGGCCCACCAGCGGCCGAGCGGTAAAATCGCTGAATACTGGTAGTTCGGTCCGAGGTTTGAATCCCGCGAACGGGCTGACTGCATGGGTGTTTTCGTGGTTTTCCCCATGTGTAACGTGTATACGAGCCAGTTTCTCTTAAAAAGTCCTCCACGAAGACATCCTTTCCCTTAGGCAGATAGCGCTAGTTTGCTTTGTCGTATTCTCAATACACACCAACACACGCAATCTTTTGCAGCAAACGATTTTTTATTACCGCTTATCAAAACCGTCTAAAAATGTGCGAAAAGCCTCTGTATGTCCTAGATCAGGAATGGGCAAACTTTTTCGGTCGCGCGCCAAAAATAAAAAAAAGTTTAATGGGTCAAGATTTTTTCTAAAATTTTAAGAACAATATACAAGTATTACAATTTCAATATGTTAATGAGATGAATGAAATTGCGATTTGATTTTTAAAAGTTCCTTATATTGAGTTCGAAGTGAGATGTATGTACTGATTCTAAAGAACGAGGCTAAATGCTCATTTGTCAGTCTACTTCTGAAGTAATTCTTTCTAAGGTTCATAGTTGAAGACAGTTGTTCACATATATAACATGAAGCAAACATAGGACTGATTATCTGGGCGTGAGATATTAAATTTGGGAAACCTACTTTCGATAATGATTTGTAAAACTCTAACTTTGGCATATTTAGAAACAACTGCTTAAAGTGATTGTTAGATTGCCACTCAATTAATTCAAGCTGCACATCTGACTTCACTGCTTCACAATTTACGTTGAAAGGTGTGGTAAAAATATCCAGTTCTGTTTGAATGGCACTGAATCTTGAAATTTGCATTCGAACTCAAAATGCAGTTTTTTCAAGCCATCTTTATAATTCTTAAACTTCTCTTCATTTACTGAATGTATAAGGTATATCTCCCACTTTCCTTGCGTGCCTTCGTGGTATAGTGGTTCTGCACACTGAGCCGGTATTTCAGAGGTCCGTGGTTCGATTCCCGGCGAAGGCGGTTGCATATTTTTCACCTTTTCTGCTTCCAATTAACCTAATGACTCTAAAGTGGCGCCTGAACTAAAAGGGTTGTGGATGATGACTCTCCACACCCAGGATTTCGCGACTAGGTCCCCTAAAACTTTAGTCGCCCTTTAAAAAGGAGAGTATATAAGGTATATCTTCCACTTTCCTAGCGTTCCTTCGTGGTTTAGTGGTTCTGCACACTGGGCCGGTATTCCAGAGGTCCGTGGTTCGATTCCCGGTGAAGGCGTTTGCTGTTTTTCATTTTTTCTGCCCCCCAAAAAAATCCTAATGACTCTACAAATGTATTGAATTTAACCTTGGGAAATAAGGCAAATCGTTCTGCCCAGCAAACAGATTAAGTTTTAGCTTAAAAGCTTTGAGATGGGCCCAGATATCATCGATAAATTGATTTTTCTCTTGCATCTTGACATTCAAGTTGCTCATATGACAAAGAAAATCTGTGAAAAATGCAAACTCCGAAGGCCATTCTGTATCTTCTAACATTTCGCACTCCGCAGACACTGTTTCTCATAGAAGAACGACACAATGTTGTCGAAACACATCCTGCTCTAAGCGACCTTTCTTTCGGATAATGCAGTACATCAGAGTATTCAGATTGCACGGACTGAAGAAAATTTCGAAATTGCCTGGGAGTAATCCAACGAAATCGAATAATATTTACAAGCTTCACGACTGCATCAAGCACGGATTTCATATTCAATGCAGATTTGCGCAGAGCATCTTGATATATAACGCAATGTAGAAAAACAACATTGTTCCCCGGATAGTTCTGATTAGAGTCCAAGAAATCCAGATTTTTTTTTCTTGTCATATTTGGTGCTCCATCGATCGTAATATTACATATATTTGCCATAGGCAAAGTTAAAAACCCTTCCTGAAATTCTAAAAGAATATCACATCCCGTTGCAGTTCCCTGTAAAGAACGCATGCATGCCAGTTCCTCTGTAATTTCAACGTTCTCATCAACTAATTGAGCAGTATCATTTAGATTAGTGTTTTCCTCTGTAGGTATGGAGCAAAATTTAAAATGGCCAATCTTTGACTCTAATTGTAATGTCAAAATTTTATCGATATCTTCGATTCTTGAAGTTACCGTTTTTCGAGATACGTTTACAGTCTCAAAATTATTTTTTCTTGTCTGGACATAAAACATCACAAACTTGGAGCGTGCATTGTTTAACGAACTCCCCATCATTGAGAGCTTTATTATTTTTAGCAATATTGTATGTTACAATGTAACCTGCATGTGTAGCTGCTTCTTGGATACTGTTTACCTTCTTGAAAAAATTTTGTTGGCCTGATAATTTTTTTACAAAGACTTTCTGCATTTTTTTAAAAATATATTCGGACATTGCTTCGTAATTGGAATTCTTATGCTTAGATGTGAAATGACGGGAAATGTTATTTTGAATGTTTGAAGACTGCTACAGCTTCATTGCTGATGAGACACACTGGTTTATCTTTTCAACTGTAAAAAAATATTTCCAGGTCCATTCATCATTAAAAGCACTGCATTCTAAATCAACTTTACGTTTTTTAACCATTTTGGAGTTGAATATTTTACGAATAACCCAAACAAGCACTAGCTACGCTATACTTTTAATAATTTCACAATGATGCTATATGTCCGCAATGTTTCCATAGGCAATCAATAATATTAGAACTCGCGCCAGAACGAAAAGCCGCTGACTGGAGCTTAAAAAATGCGCAGTCTGCCGCATGTGAGGTCTAATTCACCTTATATTGGATTCTCATATGTCTGCTCCCTGAGAAAGAGATAACGCTTGTTGGCATCAATCTATAGCTATAACTAAGATAGAACTTCCGCTTTTAACACTTCACCGATTAAAAGCTGTCTGTGCTTGCTATTTCCATCGATTTATGTTTTGTAGAAATCCTTTGAAAAAAAGGAAGGAAAAAAAGCAATATTTGAACAAAGTAGAAAGGGAGATGAATATATAATATATAAATGTGTATTTCTTTTAATTTGCCTAGGACCGGCCAATTAAAATTCTGGCCGAAGTAGGTCCGCTACCCGTAATGCCCCTCCCTGTCCTAGGTCATATTTTATATGGCAATTATATGCAGTCCGATGTTTGCAAATTCTTTAATGTTCTCTAAGGAAATCGTGTATATGAAGAATTAAAATTTAAGGCCGTGCTTAGAAACATTTTCTCGAAATGAATGATAAAGAATTATGAAAACTACCTCGCAGTTGCTTGGTGACAAAAATCATTCACACATCCTTTATATTTTTAATGACGAAAGAGTTTCGTACCAAAAATTATCTGCAGTAATGAAAGACACAAACTAAAAGCATTTACAAACTTGATATCTATAATCTTAAGGATATGCTACTGCTTACAAACTAGAAAATGTTGATTAATACCCGAAGCTGTTTAGGAAAATTTCCAACATGTTTTCTACGAGTATTTGCTACAAGAACCCACGATGACTATTTATGGATTGATGTTGTATATTGGGCGTTGTGCATTTATGGGTTGGAGTTTTATTCTAGTGCTTTTTAAATAAACAGATAATAGTTAACACTATACGTTTTTGCAATAAAAATTTATGGCTAATTATTAAATATTTATCATATCATTCCTAAATATTTTATGTCAGGAATAGTTTTCTAATCTAATGATAATTAAAACAGTGTTCTATGTTCTAGCAGTATAATTTTTTATGGCTCCTACATTTACCTACAAATGCTTCAGACACCTACCATTAAAAATATTTATAAATGTATGACAGCTAAAAATTTTGTGGTTCTTTGAATATCGAATTTGTCGGTGTAAATCCGAAATTAAATAACTAAAGAATTATGCGGCTTTTTTCGAAATATATATATATATATTCTATTGAAAACTTTTTATTTTCTTTAGGTAAACAGCTGGATGTTTGGAGTGGCGCTTCTTTTGGTTTTCTTAATGTTGCGTTTTCTCTTAATAACATCTGAAGTAAATCTCTATAGTTCAGATAAATCCTCAGGTAAGAGAGCATAAATAAATTAATCATTATTTTTATTTAGTTTTAATTGCTCAATCTACTGTTTCAGTATTCAGTGTAAAATTCAGAATTAGTTCAGTGTAAAATATATTTTGCTGTCATTGCATAAATTTAATATAAAATTTCGAGGCTTTTCAATAATCTGCTCTTTCAACCCGCTTTTTTCAGTTACTGGTATTTCTTGAATACGCGGTAATTAATCAAATTAAAATTATTTGAATTGAATATAATAATCAATGGTGACATTCGTTCATGCCCTGATTATTCTGATAATAAATTACTTTATATTGCTCTACTTCACGTTTTTATACTTTTGTAAACATCTACAGTATCATCAGTGACGCACCTAGAATTTCATTTTAGGGGGTGCAATATCCATCTTAATGTCAAAACTACCTTGCACAATTTTTTATATTTAGTTTTCCCATTTACAAATTGAATTTAATCTAAAAATCCTTCATCTGCAATTATGTTAGGTTATTTAAGCAAAATAGAAAATCTTCATTCGTCTGCATTTGTATTGTTATGAATTTTGTACACATAAAAATAATTTTAAAGAAATCACATATAAATTGTAATATCTCTTGTATAAATATTACATGAAAGACCTCAGAATCGACGCGTTGCCGGAAAAAAAGGATTACAGGGGTAAGGCCATTTAACATTGAGATTATGGTTATCTTGTCAATTCTTCGCCGAAATAGCGCCGAGCTTCCAATGCTTTTGGAAACAGATTTTTTGTCCCCAAATTTGGCGGGAAATTGCTAAAAGTCGCCAACCATGGCGATATTTTAGTCTGAGCATTGTGTAACTTTAAATGGTCAGATTTATATGTAATTCTAACTGTATCCGGCATAATGTAACTGTAATTTTACCCTATGTCAGTGTATGCCTTCGAACAACTTCGAGAAATTGAAGATACTGGAAGTTTCTTGGCAAATGAAGGAATACAATATAAAATCGGAGAGAGTTTCATCGTATGCCCGAGGGCTTACTTTTCAACGAGCTAGCAAGGTTGCGCTTTTGTTGTTGGTTGCGCGATAGTTCTGGCAATAAATATGTATCCAGTATCCAGTTTTAGTAGGGAGGAGCTCGCTGCAAGTCCCTCGGAGTAATGTAAACTCGCCTTTAGTTTAGCTCAGAGTATTGGGAGCTCAGAGTACTGAGAGATTTTGCTTTTTGATGCGCTTTCCATTTCATTGTGTCCAACGGTTTTGGTAGCTCAGAGTACTGAGAGATTTTGCTTTTTGATGCGCTTTCCATTTCATTGTGTCCAACGGTTTTGGTAGTTTGAAGGGAGTAATTACTGACCGTGCTCTGTTACACCGATGAGAGTTGTACGACTACTTTTGTGTGAAAAGTTTCAGAACTTTTCACACAAAATGTTTGGGGGGAATAAATTTAATTAAGCTTTCATCTACTCTGCGCCAATTCAATTCATTACGAACCCATATGCAATGTAGCAATTTAGCAATTTTTGGTATCAGAAGTGGGATTGAATGCTGGTAACAAGAGAGATGAAAGGGCAACTAAGGCAGCTGGTGACGGCCTATGCTGCATTCCATGAAAAGAGGGCCATTAAAGAAGGGATGAATGTAGGCTAAGAGAAGATGGAAAGTGTCGTCAAGTTTGTTAAAGGGCAGAGGAAAGCAGTTCAAGAAAAGATGCATGCGGGCCAAGAAGAGATAGAAGTCAGCATGAGTAGGTTCAAAAAAGATTGAAGCAGGTCAAGAGGAAATGAAAAGAGAAATTACTGCCGTAACAGAAATACAAAGTCGAGGCTATGGAAGACAGAATAGACACAATTGAGAATAAAGTTGAAGAAATCGAAGAAAGAGTTTCTCCTGTCGAACAACACGCTCTGTCGTATTGAGAAGAGGTATACAAATGCGTTTTCATTAAAAGTTCCAGAACTGTAAAGTGTTTGGCGTCAAATAAGTTTCATCGGTTCTGCGTGCATTCAATCCATTACCAGCCCACATGTACGTTTACTGTATTATTATTTTCATCTAATGAAAGCTTTATAAAACATGATCTGGAAAACAAAAATACTTACATTACTTAATCAGATGAGATATTTTCCTAAAGAAAGTTTTTAATTTATGCCAAATCGTATATTAATGTACATTCTGAACTGCCCCCTCTTTAATGTGTAATTTTTTTTTCTTTTAAGGTATATCTTTACATGTACTACACAAACATAATCCATTTAAAGACTTTTAAATGTTATCAAGATTTTTAAAACTTTGTTAATATTATGAAAATTCTCTTTATTGTAAGTTTCTATAGACTCTGTTGTAAATGAATTATTTTGCTGCCGATTCAGTTTTCTTTTTTAAAACTGTTATTCAGCATTTAAATTTCTAATATTACAATTCGACCTTTCAGAAGACTATATCCTGAATGTGATACTCAAAAGAGGCCCATGGGAAAGTGTCATAAAAATCTTATAACAAGAGGAAATGAAACTAAATTTTTACATGACATGCCTTTGTGTTTGAGAAATGAAAGTACATTACAAGAGGTACTGGAAGTGATCTTCTCTCACCTTGTACACACACAGTCCAAGATAGCACTGCATGTTTGCGCGTATGTTGCTGCCAGAGTTTTGGGCATGACTGTCTGGATTTCACAGCGGATGTTCTGAATGAAGGAGTTTCTAGACGATAGCATGCTTGTTGTCCCTACTTCATAAATATATGTTTTGTTAGTTCACGTATCCTGAAATGGAACGCAGCTTCGTCACTGTACCTCGTGTACTCTGGTAGCAACAAACACAAAAATGGAGCGCCGTGTTGAACTGTGTATACAGATGGAGGAAGGTCACTTCCAGCGCCTCTTGTGATGTACTTTCATTTCTCGAACATAAACGCATATCATGTATAAATTTGGTTTCATTTCCTCTTGTTGTAAGATTTTTATCACACTTTTCCCAGAGCCCCTTTCGAGTAATTAATTAAGCACTCTGTATTTAAAAGTGCATCGAGTTTTCTTTAATTTTCAGATTCAAAGAGGAATTTATTATTTTAGGGAATTAAAATATTGAAAAAATTAAATATTTCTTTACGCTTGAAAAAATATTTTAAGTTCCCACCTCCAAGAACTGATTAAAAATTTATATTCGAAAATAAAATTCGATGGACTCAATTTTAATATTAAAGCGACATGCTTTTTTGCTTGCCAATCCCGGAAGAGAAATTTAAATTGTTCTTTATTTATTTCCTTCAAAACTGTGGCCGATTCTTTATAAATTGCACTGAGTATTAACTTTGCCCACATTTGATCATCTTTCAACATTCATTAGTTGTACTCTACAGTGTATGTTCATTTAGTGTGTAATGAATAATACGGATAAGCATTAACAAAATAGGCATATGCAGCACCAGCACTAGAGTCGGTGCAACCAGTATGGTGGAGCAGGGCGACAAATGTTTAGAATTTTCACGCCCTGTGCAATTTCTGCGACTTCTAAATTAACGTCCTCAGGCATATGTGATATCTTCAAATAACAAGTAACAAAGAAACTATAGTCTAAGGAAAACCAGAAAGATCTCCTTCAATAAGAAAATTAGTAAAATGATGCCACAATTAAAGTTTACCAATTTTTGATACAAGAAAAGATTCTGGGAGGGGGGAAGCCATTGCACTCCCACTGTGTATCATTGTATATTTAATGCCTATATGCAGGGTGGTTATAAAAATAACTTTCTCTGTCTGAAGGCATTTAAAGCTAAAACTAATGACCGGAATAAAAACAAATTTCATATATAGCATAGGGAATTAATTACATAAACGAAATAAAAAAACAGTATCAAAAATCACTGATAGGAGAGATTTTGGCGCTGCTTTCACGTACGTACTAGGAAATTTGCCCAATCCAGGTAGATTATGCAAATTTCACACTACTTCATTATGTTTTTTTTTTTAAAAGGGGAACAGCAAACATTCAGCAAAGTACGAAAAAAGCAAAGACCAGCAAAAGACGATTTTGGATCTGTATGCCAAAATTAGACGCTACAGAAGGTAAAAAATGCATGATTTGCTTTTGATGCCAGAGATTTGATACGACCACATCCTTTTTAATAACCCGCCCATATGCCTGAAGTGCAGTGATGGTCACCTGACCTACACGTGTACTCTTCCTAAAGAAGAGAAGCCATTATGTGTTCACCGTAAGTTGGATCACATGGCCTCACCGAAGAAACGCGAATTTTACCGCAAAACTCGCATCACGAAAGAATATAAAAAGCTTCTTCGGAGACCGAAGAAATCCGCTAATAACTATGTCCAGAATCGTAACGTCCCAGTTCCGAGAGAAAAGGTCGCTCGTTCTCATCGAAATATCAGATTTTTGTTCTGAAAACTCTTATGTCTGTGCAGTGGCATTTGAACTAAAATATCTTAGACGATAATTCGTCTTTTCTTCACCGTCTGGATTTAGACACCAGTTTCATGCTTTTCTTCAGTCCCCGTTATAGAATATATGGAATTATCACATTCCTCTGTGAGTGCACTCATAGCGTAAGTGTTAAGTATACTTAACTAGCAATTGAAAGATCCGTGATATGAATTCTGACGAGAAGGCAGCTGATTTCCCTTATCCTGCTCCATCCCCCCGGGGGTCGACGTAGAGTCTCTGCGCAGTACTGGCTAGGATTTGTACCTAGACAGTCTCGGCCACGGGGGTATAAAATTTATGAACTTGGCGGTTCCCGATGGTCCATGGGGTAAGTTTATACTTACTCTTCATGGGCCGGGAGGTGTAAGTCCTTTCCACCAGGGTATTGGTAGCCAAATAGCAAACTGGAACATTGAGAGTCTGGTCACTGCTGTCCTTGGAATTCCATGTAAAGCCTAAGGAGAGGGACATCCCGTGTAGTGCTGGCAGGTAGCCTCAATCAACGGCCGGTCATCGCTCCAAGTTGTCATCGCCCACTCCACCGTGGTCTCGGTCCGGCCGAGATGGTGGTCTTGACTGGTCCGTGTTTATCGGTGGGTCGGCTGAACGTTGAGCGTTCAGCAGAGGAAGCTAAAAGTGTTGGTGTCTGGGGGATGTGGGACCCCGGGCCCAGCAGGAGTGTTCTAGCCATCTTTAGGGTGGTTTCTGACTGATATTTCAGTCCCTGTAGTGCTATTGAGTTAGCGAGGCAGGTAGAAATTTAGTTAGTTAGTTATCCTGCTCCAAGAAGCTTACTAGTATCTAAAAACTTTATTTTTGCATTTGTTTATGTTTAATATTTTAATGTTTTTTTATTTTTTTCAATTTTAGATGAAGTACGATCTTTTAAATATGGAGATTATATTGGTTTGGATGGTGAAATAGTGGAGTTCCCTTTTCGTTGCAAGTCTTGTGCTCTCGTTGGTATGTCAGGTAAGACTTCAACAAGACTTGATACAATCTAACGTTTAATAAAATCAAAAACAAAGAATAAAATGTCATTTCTGTTAAAGTAAAAACAGCAATAATAATAATCTTTGCAATCCTTCATCAATGTTCCAGAATTCGATTGCATATTAGTTTGAAAACTCTGCCTGACAGTGCATTTTATTAATGTTATTAAAAATTAACTATTAATTATGTTGCAGTATAAGAAAAGTAAAGAAAAATTCTACAATACAGCATGTTATTTATCTTTTACAACTTAGGTTGGTTGATTACTGGATTACACCAAAGCACATGAGGGTCATCTGCACAAAGGAGAGAATATTTTTAGAAGGTATTTTTTTTTAAGTAGACAGACTTCTATTCATGTTACGCATAGGGAAGACTAAAATAATCCTCATGTACTCAGCCCGTTCTCCGAGATTCGAACCCAAGTCTTACATGGCCATCAGTGGCCATCACTTGTCCAAATGGCCCAAGTCTTACGTGGCCATCAGTGGCCATCACTTGTCCAAGTGACCCAAGTCTTACATGGCCATCAGGGGCCATCACTTGTCGAAGTGGCCCAAGTCTTACGTGGCCATCAGTGGCCATCACTTTCCCAAGTGGCCCAAGTCTTACATGGCCATCAGTGGCCATCACTTGTCCAAGTGGCCCAAGTCTTACATGGCATCAGTGGTCATCACTTGCCCAAGTGGCCCAAGTTTTACTTGGCCATCAGTGGCCTTTGTACGTGTGGCAGACTAGGCCTGTAGGATTTAATTTATCGATTTACCGGCCAAAATGAACTTTAGTTTCTTTATATTGTTAGTAAGACGGAGCCAAAGAATCTCCGAAGAGGATTTTATACTCAAGGAATGCAGTGGATAGAAGATACGGTGCCAGATTTATGAGCACAGTAGGTAATAAATATTTGAGTACAGTACTTGATTTCACAAAGGGAAGAGAACGGTTTGGTCGAAAGTCTTAGGCACAGGATGTAAAATGAATTTACTAGCGTTGCTTGTTCTTTTCAGTGCAAGTTCTTGCTTGCATTTTAATATTTTATAACTTATTCAACATTATGATTTCTCTTGAATTACGTATGCGCATAATGTTTGTCGCCAGTACAGCATGAAGGAATAAAGAATTAAACATAAACTTATTAATTTGAGCAATAAACAAAAACTATATTTAATTTCAGTGGCGAATCAAAATCTGTGTAAGCTGGCAATAATAAAAATAATGAAAAATTCGGACTGTTTTCCGTTATAGGACAACATGTATCAAAGAATTATTTTGTATCGAAGTATGTAGCATATGACGTTAAAAGCATCGTATGTTAGTTGTGAAAATAGTGCATTATCTTAATTATCTTAACATTTAGAGCTATTTAATTATTTGCAAGCTGTGAACAAAAGTAAAATGTCTTACTGCGATATATGAATATATAGAAAAAAATGGTCACTTTGTTATTATATCATCACCTAGGAAAGTTAGGGCACATATTTGTAGGTTTGCTTCAAACATTGGACTGATTGGAGATTGCGTGACTCCCACGGAAGTATTTCAACCCTTTCGCCGTCTTCTCCTGTCCGCGAAAATTCCCCCCTCCCCAGCGGCCGTCTGTTTTTCGTAGCGTGTAATGTTGTTTTCTCTGTACATCATAACTTTCCATACATGACTTTCGTAGTGGACGAATGTCAATGAATATTAAATAGAATTATAAGGAAATAAAGCATAATGGAAAAAAATAATATCTCTGCTTATTTCTAACAGCAGGATAATTTGATAACATCTGATCCAGGCGGTCCACTCCTCCCATTTTGTTGTAATCTTTTACAATTATAGGTTTTTTTACAGTTCATTTCCATGTTCCAACATCAATCATCAAGTTATTATGGACTGTACTCATCAAACGTATATCCTTCTTGTCTTTCCAATTCACAACCTCATTTTTTCTCTTTTTCTGCTGAGTAGACGTTGAAGCCATCTCTCACTGTCTTGTATCTTATGTAAAATGGCGCGAATATTCATAAAACCCGGGGCAAATTCAATTAGAAATAGAATGCCTGATTAGTGCTACCTTCTAGGAGGTATTAGAACAAATAAAAATGAGAACTCAAGCAAGTAAACATTTAGAAAGCGTTTTAACCGTTTAAAAGTTTTAAAATGTAGAAGAACAGGCACGTTACGGCCGCCCTGCGGAAGTTTCACTTGAACGCGCTAGACGCGTTACGGACGGCGAAGAGTTTAAATATTGGTTACCCTAAAAGTAAGCAACTTTTTCTTTCTGTTACGCAGCATTTAAAGCAACGTTTACATTAAAACTTTTATTTTCCTCTTGCTTGTTGAACAATCATTAAAATTTCGGGCCTAACTTCTACTGAACAATTAGCAGAATATTTCCTAAATTGTGGTATCGCGTCACCTGAAAACTTCATTTGAGCAGGACTGGGACATAATTGGTAAAAAGAATGAAAGACACCTGATATACACAGTTAGTAAGCAGGTATCATCCCTACTTTTCACCTCTTTAGGAGAAAGCATTAATGCAAATGTAAACTGAGTGTCATCAATGGCACGCTGATTGTCCTGCATCTTTCTATCCCGAGAAAACAAAGCCGTCGCGCCTTAAGCGACCCTCCGTCAAGGTGTCTGAACATTTGGCAATTTGGAAATTTATACATGCTTTATTCCCTATTCTGATTTTATTTTATAGTAATTTCTGGTTACTGTTTTTTTAAATACACCAAATTTTGGGGCCTCTTGGCTCTTCTCTTCTCATGCTACATATAGTTTAATGCTTTCAAATGTGCTTTACATATGATATGATTTGGTGGTTATTTATACCTATTTAACCCTGCCCTGAAAACTTCCCATAGGTAGGTTCATTCTTATTTAATACAAAATCTTTATTTGGTACTTATTACATGCAATATATTACACCATATTCTTCACGTATTTTTTTCCCAGCGATCTGCTCTATCATCTTACACTTATTGTCCGCACAGTCAACTATATTTGGGTCGTGATACTTGTTACTACATTACAAACTTACACACGCTTCTATTCTACATCTGAAATAAGTCATTACACTTGGATAGTAAATTTTGATAATGTTGTTTTTAATTTGTTACGTCCATTTACCTTGTGCATGATGTACAGTTTCAATTCGTAGTAATATGATGACATTATATAACATTTAGTATTATTTACTTAGTAATTGTTATTTTTCTAATCCTCCTGATTTGAGCTTACATCCAGAACAGATCCACAAATCTCAATTTTATAGAGAATTTCCTGGGGTACAAATCCGAGGGTTTCACACCCCTCTTTTGCTATTACTAACCTCTTGAGAAAACTTTCGGTTGGACTGATTTTTAAATATATCCATGCTTTCTTCGAGATTCGAAGCCTAAGACTGACAGTCAGCTCTCCTACTAATATACCAAGAGTGTGGTAAGTTACTTATTAATGACGTTTAATATTATATTATTAAATTTGCCTACTTTTCGATTTATATTATTTACGCTTACTTCTGTGTGCTTGCCTATAGTTTATTACGCATTGTTTCGTGCAGTTTGTCACATGGCGACCTAAAAATTGTCAGTATTTAGATTTTCATTTATTCAAGTTTGTGTGGCGCAAAGAGAAGGACCTGTATTGCATATTCGTATTCCACTACAACATGAGACAATTACGCTTTAATAAACGCCTATTACAGTTGTTCTGTTCAATTTTTCTTGTAAAATTTTACAGGTATACGATAAAGAACTATCTGAAGGCTACTCCAATGGAGGAAGACAAGACAGTTTTGCAATGCATTACTATGTATTTCAACATGAATATTTTTCAGACTTGTGTTGTGAAGGCAAATAAGCATGCGAAAGATGAAGTTTTTTACTGATAAGGAACATTATTTTCTTGAACACTTAAATTGATTTTCATTATAATAAGTTACGATGATTGTTTAAAACTTCAGATGTATTTTGATGTCGTCAAAAAAATAAAAAAATAGAAAGATTTTAAACGAATATTTAGAGGAAAATCAAAAGTTTTATCATCCTTAAATTCCATTAATTTTTTTTAAAAATAAAATGTCGACTTAAGGATAAACATAAACGACCAGGAGAAGCATAAAATTGCATGAATTTTAAGTCTTTATCACAGTGCTTCATTTCATAAAAAATTATTTACTATATATTCTAGCGCATAACGCACAAATTTAATCCAAAAAACAGGATCTAAATTTAAGAGGGCAAGTTATACCCCGGTTATAAAAATGATATATTTCAAAAGAAGGAAATGATGAGCATATAAAAATTAGATTTCTAAGTGTACTAGGTGCTGTTTATTTTAAAAAAAATGACACACTTTAAGTAAAATAGTTAGTGAATTCTTTAAGAGCAACAGAACGCTTTTGCCAAACATTTCTTATTCACAGTCTCACACCATTTTCGTCCATGAATCCGTGAACATGAATTAAAACACTATGTGGAAAGTTATCGTCTTTCTTTTAAAAATGACCGTAGGTTTTTATTTTTTACCGTCCACTAGTAGGAAAGCACAGTGGTGAAATGAGGTTTTCCATGACCTGTTGTTCTATGTGAATCATTTTTGTTCCTTTCACTTCAATTGTCTTATTTTCTATCAAAGCAAACATTACTGGCATTTCATCCGTGTTTCCAATAGGTGACAGTAAATAACGTTTCTGTCTTCGTAGGCCAATAACATACGAGGGCAGATCAAAAAGTAATATATAATAATAAAATTATAACGTTAAATATAAAAAAATATTTAAAAATTAATTTAATAATTTCTTAATACAAAGGCTATACTTGAAGTAAAATTCTTAACTAGTTTTAAAAAAATTGCAGTTTTTTAAAACAACCCATTTAAAATTTTCTTGAACGATAACTGAATTCACGAATAATATACTTTAGTAATCTTTGATAATCATTCTAAGCTTTTCAAAATAATAAAAAGTGAAGTTGTATTTCATATTTGTTTTTGCGCTCAAAAAATCACTTTAAGAGAATCGAGAGAAACTTCCTTCAATGGTCATTCGAATAATATAAAAAATGACATTTAATTTGAACACTTTGTCGATATATGATCACCACTTTTTATTTCTTACGATGTGAGCAAAATGTTTCTACTTCCATTTTTTTCTTTTTCAGTCATTTACTAATCGCAACTAATTGCATAACACTTCGAATACGTCGACGAAATAGATGTAGTTACATCATTTCGTAGCTGTCATCGAAGCATTCACAATTGCTTACTGCATATTCGCTATCATTACTTTGCTCTGAGTGCAATTAGGTCATTAGTGATTTTTGATGGGAAGAAATTTTTTTGGTGTGAGGTCATTAATATGCCATCAGATAATATAGCTTTTCCGTTATTCCTTTGTTTATTTCCTTATGAATGAATATATTCATTATGCTATATACATATACCGATACTCCTATTCATGGCGTAAATACTGATATGTTGTTAACGTTGTTTTTATTATAAGTGCAGTGGCATGAAAATTTTACCCGTTTAATAAACATACGGAAATAGATATCTGCTTAGGTTAACGTTCTGAAATCATCAGGTTATTCTGAAGCAGGAGACGAAAAATGAGCAGTGCTCTCGCCCAAACTCGAATACGGATCTTTCGAATACGCGCCGAGTGTGCTGCCGTTACACAACGATGGTGGTGTATTTAATTATGGCAAAGGACACGAGGGCTATTTGCCTAAGGAAAGGGATGCCTTCGTGGAGGACTTTCTAAGGGAAACTGCCTCGTATACACGTTACACATGGGGAAAACCACGAAAACGCCCATGCAACCAACCCGTTCACGGGATTCGAACCTCAGACCGAACTACCAGTGTTCAGCTACTTTACCGCTCGGCCGCTGGTGGGCCCGTTGCACAACGAAGACGTGCTGGAAGGAGGGAGAAAATACTTTATACAGTAAGACCCCGCTTAACGCGGGGGATACGCTCCATCAAGTAGAGCGCAATGCGAAACAACGCTAAACGAGGCTATCTTAACATGTAAATAATGGGGTTAGGGGAAGATGGATAGACAATTGGTTAGGTATTAAATTTAATAATGTTTTTTTTTAATAAAAATAAAACCAAACATTTATTTCTTACAAAAATAAAAACAATATAAACGAATATACTCATAAAACAAATAAATTTCTCAGTCAGATCATTCAGTCTATTCTGTTACCAATTTTCTGCCTTTTTGTCGAGAAGGCATTATGATAGATTGTCTTAATGGCATATTGCGTTCAATTTCGTCGTCAATCCATATAGACAGTCGTTTTTCCATTTCCTCTATAATGTTATTTCTAGAACGGGTAATTCCAGTTGCAGAGCTTGACGTAGTTGCAGTTGCCGATGACAGTATTTTTTCTTTATTCTTAAGAATTGTCCTTATTGTTGAAGTTGCCAAATTCAATGCAGCACTAATCTGAGATTGACACTCACTAGAATCTAATCTTCTAATCACTTGCATTTTAGTTTCCAGTGAAATGCCTTTTCTGGTTGCTTTATTATTATTATTATTATTATTATTATTATTATTATTATTATCACCCATGATAAAAACTAAAGATCATAATATTTGTCACTGTATTAATCGTTATAGTATTATATGAATTTATACTTACAATAATGTCAACAAATGTTTCAGATGATAAAAATGCGTCCTTACAGCACCGCACCAAACAAGAAACACAAGTACACTGTTTCGGATATGTTATTTGGAAACTAGCGCTGCGCACAAGTTCGGGGAATCCTCGGGTTGAAATAAAAGAGCGCTAAACCGAAACAGCTTTAAGCGAGGTTTTACTGTATACTAACCCCTTTAAAAGGCGACTGGGGATGAGGGTACCCAATGGTCAAATCCTGGTGGTGACGAATTATCGTCCGCCACCTTTAAAAAAAAAAAAAAAAAAAAAAAAAAAAAATATAATATATATATATATATATATATATATATTATATATATATATATATATATATATATATTTTAATTCGGGCGCCACTGTAGAGTCATTAGATTTTGAAGCAGGAGACATGAAAAAGGGAACAATGCTTCGCCAGGATTCGAACCTGGATGCTCGTAGTGTGCTACCACCACTCCACGAAGGCATGGTGGAAGGAGGGAGAAAATACTTTATAAACTGTTTTAATGATATTTTTTCAGTTAAGTATGTTGATAGTATAGATGATATAATAAAAGTTTGATGGTATGTTAATAGTATAGTACCGTATATTCCAACACATAACGCGCACCTATGATTTCAAATTACATGTTTAAAAATTTTAAGTGTATTCTCCGTATAACGTGCAACTTTACACAAAGAAACACGAAAAGATAAATAAAGGTGAGATATTCTTATTTTTTCAAGTCATTCATTCGAAGATTTCCCCCAGGCTTTCGAACAAAGGTATACTGAACTGATAAGCGATAAGGGAAAAATACGTGTGTGATTGATGTGAAAGGCACGAGAACGGTTAACATAAAACAACAGGTCATGAAAAATCTCACCTCACCGTAGTGCTTTTCCGCTTAGCGGCCAATGCAAAATTGAAGCCCATGGTTACTTTTAAAAGAAAGACGATGGAGATATATAATTTCCCAAATGGTGTTTTCATTCACGTTCACGAGAAAAATGGATGGACGAAAACTAAGCGAAATTGTGGATAGGACATGTTTGGCAAAAGCGCCTGTAGCCTTAAAGAACCCTGAGTCTTTAGTTTGGAACATGTTCAAATCCCATCTAAGGGATAATATGAAGAAATTGCTGAAACAGAGTAATATAGACATGGATGTTATTCCAGGCATTAGTTCATTTAGATGTGCGTATCAATAAAATGTTCAAACAACGTTTAACACTGCAGTGGAATACGTAAACGTTAGAAAAACATTTACAAAGGGAGCCAAATGCCAATCTAGAAATAGTGTCTGAGTGGACAATAAAAGCATGGAATGAAATTAAACCCGACGCGATCTAAAAGTCGTTTAAAAAAATTTTGTATCTCTAATAACTTAGGTGGAACGTATGATGATTATTTGTAGATCAGAATAACAGTGATAGTGAAGATGAAACAGAATTCGATGATGTGCCTGAAGATGCAACGGGAGACGGATATGACGAACTTTTCATATTATCCGATAATGAAAATTTTGAAGTTCATTTCTTTTAAATAAACAACACTTGGGTACATGTAGAAATCTACTTTTTGTATGCTCATTTTTTTCTAATTTTAAAATCTATCGTTTATATCCGGTATATGACGCTCACCCGTAAATTTAGATCTTATTTTTTGTATTAAAAGTGCGCGTTAATACAAAAAATACATATCCTGTATTATACGGTATATATTTAGAAATAGCCGTGGGAAGTATGTACTTTGATAATTTTAATGTTTTATGAGTTTAACTTAAGATACTTAAAAACTCACAAATACTATGTTCCCACAAAAGCCATAGAAGTAAACACTGACTATGGAGGCTTATATTGGAGGTAAATTTAGGAAGTTGAATTTATTAAGAAATTTAATTTATTTCGTATCCTAATTGTAGACCGGAAATTTTCTTTGCATAATGTTATGTAAAAACTTTATCCATCTAATGTTAAGTACAGAAGAATTCTTAGTTTATATTTTAAGATGTTGGGATTTACCAAACGTTACTGAATGCATTTTTCTTTTTCCGAACTCGACATACAGTAATAATTGTAGAAATTGCCTCAGTAATAATAATAAAATTAATTCTCGAATACTACATAACTTCTCTGTTTTTTTCGTTGTCTCATTTGCGTTTGATATTATAGGTAATTTAAAAGAATAATTCTGAACTCTTAAGATCTCGGCTCTAGTCACCGTCTTGGAAAGTGTTCATAATTTAGATTGCTGTAAGATACCTTGTTTTTCAAAGATCCGAGTCAAAATAAACTGGCTCTGCTAAATATGGTCTCGTTTGACCATGACTACTTTGATAACATTAACCGAATGTTAACATAAAGCGGTACAAAATATCTTTCAGAATATCGATAAAGTTTAACTAATTTAATAAAAATAGAACCAGAAACATACTGTAAAATACTTACTCTCACAGCATTTTAATTACGGAGAAAGTTATCAATAGTTGATTGTTTGGAATTGTAACGTAAAAGTTCATTTATGAAATGTTCATAGTAATAATATTTCTGGAAATTATTTGTTTGATGCTGTATCCATAATCTTAATACTCACAGAGCATCCTGCATATCAACATTCATAGAAAATTCCCTTCTCATCTTCAAATTCATCATTCAAAATTCATTCCTCATCAGCTTCATCAGCAACCAGTTTATCACATTACGTGCTTGGATTTCTTTCAAAAAGCAACAGGCAGATATCTTTTGCCAATGATGCTACAAGTTGAAGTTTTTTATCAACATTACCTAAGCGTTTATCACGTTAGTTGGATACGTTTCTAGTTCTTCGGTTCTTTTATTTAATAATTTTCCTTTATTTCATAATATGCTATTTTTTGGACATTATGCATATAATTCTATAGACAGAATTCATGTAAAAAATGTAATTCAGTAAAATTATGATGTTTCCGACTCAGTATTTATATTAGAGATCATCCTAAAGTGTAGTCTGTAGTCTTTTTGTACTTGATGTGTAGGAAGTGTACCTACGTAGTTAATGATTGTCTGTTCCTAAATGGTTTAGGTTATTTGCTAGATTCTGACTTTGGAGAGGAGATTGACGAAAATCATTCATGCATCTTTCGCTTGGGCTTCTGTCCTACAAGAGGAATGGAGAGACATGTGGGATCACGCACCACTGCACGTGTTGTCGATAGCTTCAGGTGAGGTTACAGTTTTTAATGAATTAAGTTGTTAAATGGTAACGGTGTTCCTTTTTTCTTCAGAAACGGTTAAATTTCTTCGGATCTCTACCTAGATGTACAGTGAACTCTGTACACACCAGGGTAATATCGGGCACGTCGTCTACAATTAACTCAAAATCGTGTTTAATCCGAAGTCAGTTAAAAATTACAAGAAAGAGGAGTAACCCGTAAATTTTGTGTGTGTGTGTATTTAATTATGGCAAAGCACACTAGGGCTATCTGCCTAAGAGGAGGGATGCCTTCGTGGAGGACTTTCTAAGGAAAAATTGGCTTGTATACACGTTACACATGGGGAAAACCACGAAAACAGCAATGCAGCCAGCCCGTTCGCGGGATTCGAACCTCGGACCGAACTACCAGTGTTCAGAGAATTTACCGCTCGGCCGCTGGTGGACCTTGAGTAACCCGTAAAAAATACTAAATTAAACTTGTGACCTGTAATGTAACCTGTGTTTTCAAGCAGCTTATGGAAAATAAAATCAGTTGGTTAGGTAAATCAAACTAAAAAGAATAAATGTGAAACAAAAGGAATACACTATAATTAAGGAAGAATGAATAGCGTTAGAAATGAAGCAACTATGCTAAACATATCATTAAAGAAAATAATATTTAGAAGAGAACTGAACAATGCCAGAATGTTTATCAGAATTTTTTTTAGTCCAAAGGGGTCCCTGAAGTTCGTTTTCGTTTTGCGATTTTGCGTCGGACTCATAAACGTCGGTTCACTTTTCAAACTGTTGCCACAAAATGTTAGAGTCCTGCATTATATTTGAAGAAATTAAATAATGAAAAATCTGCATAAATGATTGTCTATTTCTCGCACAGTGATAAAACAATGGTACATAGAGCCATCGAATTTTGAATGACGAAATCCTACTGCGAATATGGGCATCTGAAATCCCAAATTTGGAATTTGTTTTATTATAGATTTTATATTTTGTAAAACTTTAACGAATTTTTGATTTACAAACTCAATGCTTTAAAAGCGAGAAATGGCAACGTTATATATAAAAAAAAAAAATACTTTTATCTCCAGCTCGCGAGACTGTGTATATCGGAAATTCTAAAGATATGCTTAATTTAACATTATTTTGCGATATTGCTCTTGAACTGAATTTTATGGTTTAAGTGCAAAGAACATGATATTTAATAAATAAAGGTAACACTCAAAACGTTAAAAAAAAGCCCCTTTGGACGTAATTTAAAATCTGAAACATTTCAGATTTTTTTTTTTTTGTTTTGTTTTGTTTTTGTTTTAGTAAGCAATGTTTATACAAGTATATTTCGGATTTACGTGCAACTAAATTATCTTCTGTTGTGGATAAACACACAGTGAACGTCGGTTTAAGAATTTGATTCGTTTCTGAGGGCCGTTCATCAACCGATACAATTTTTCCAATAGAAATTATTGTAAAATCAATTAATTCGTCCCTGGGTCACAGATTGTTTGCTTATGTAAACTTTACAACATCACTCTGTGTGCAAGTTAATAGTCCAAACGTAATGAAAATCAATAAATATAAAAAAGGTAAACACAATATTAAACAGATAAAATAAACAAAACTTTATTTACTGTATCTCTGCAAAAGAGTGAGTAGAATAAGTAGAAAATGATGAAGGAGATATTATTGTTTGGATTCGAAATTCTTTTCCGTAAAAAAATCTTTAGGAAGCATTTTCTTTTAACTAAACACCAGTTGATCCTACTTGAGATTAACTGGGCCTCCGTTTCACTTGATGTAATTTGTTGTTGCCTATGTTTTGAAATGTTTCTAAAGTGAGGCGTTGCATTGCCGTTAGAAATGCATATATTGTAGTGCTTTATCAGAGTGAAATCTTTACGCGAAAACATTCATCTTACCCCATTTTGCACAAATTTCGCGCACCAGAGGACTAGTATCATCTTTCTTTCTGAAGTCGTTTCATCCAAAATCTCTCTTTAATGTTGCTTCCGAAGTTAAGGTTCTTTCATGCTGAACCCATTTTTGTCATCCTCTAGCTACTTCTCCACGTCTTCGCTGTTAACATCCTAGCCATCGCTGTATTAAGAGATACAATAGTATTGATAACAAAAAAAGTGTTCAAGATCTCCGCCTGCAACCCAATCTGCCATAACTTCTTCCAGACAGCATTCATAGAGCTTTAAGCCACCTGCTGCCACTCTTCGTTAATAAGAGTTAAAACAACAGGAAATATTAAAATATTCTTTCAGGGACCCTGAGTGATAATTGCATGGTTCAGGTCACTTCAAACCTCCTTTGAAAATTACATGTTGCCGACTTGAATGTTCGTAACTCGAGACACCTTTCGTCATCCGAAATATTTTTGGTTTTAGTAATTTGTTCGCCGTGTGAGGCGTTCGTAATCCGAGGTTCCACTGTTCTATAGCATCATTTAGTGTCGCTGTCTTATACCATGCTTCCCCCTTCCATACATACAGAAATTTCGCAGATAATTTTTTTTATTTTTTAGACGAAACGTGGCTGATCCTTCCCCTTGCCATTCGGGAGTTGTTTCAGCAATAGGTAAACTCTAAAAAATAATAAAATATCATTTAATCTATAACTTTCAAAAGTCATTTATAGGTGGTTATTTTAAGCGAAGTAAACGATTACTGTGCTTGCTTCATAATGAAATGTTAATTAATTTGTTAGTAAAAGCGTCATTATGAAGGCACTACTGGCCGGCACAGTAAAAATTACATTATCGACCTCGCTGACATGGAGCGAATTTATCAATATTCAATAATCCCATATTTTTTGCGTAGTGAAATGAATGTTTTAGTTTATATTATGTGGGTACAAATTAAATGCGTAATAACAGATTTGAATCACAAGTGCTATATAAATATAAACTAAATATTTTAAAATGTCTTTAAATTATAAAAATAAGTTGGCAATCATATTCTCTCATAATTCTGGGAAAATTTTAAAAACAGCTAATTGAAATAAAATCTTCAGGTAACCAAGAATAAAATAAAAATTACAGTATTAATTATTCAGCTTTAAAATTTAATATTTTTAATTTATTATTCATAATAATGAAATTACTCGAATTCACTGATTCACAATTTGAATGATTCTTTTTTGTCTTCCTAGTAATAGAAGTAAAATGGTTTTCTGGAACCTGAATGTAGCGGTGTCCGCCGATAACATCGTGGCAAAAACATCGCGGACGAAAACGTCGAGGAGAAAACAACGCAACGCGAAAACGTTGCGCTACAAAACATCGTGGGAGAAAACATCGTGGTACAAAACGTCGTCGTCGAAAATAACGCAGTTCAAAAACTTCGCAATTTAAAAACATCGTCGTCGAAAATATCGTGGTGAAAAATAAAGTATCTATAAACCATCGCATGACGATAGCATCACAGACATGCTTTTTTCAGGCTTTAGTAACTGTAAATGGATATCCCCATAATGATTTGTGAGCGCAAGAAGGAAAGAAGGATAATTTTTACTTTCACATTTTTTTATTAACTAATAAATTTCTGCTGATAAAATAAGAAGAAAACTTAAGCATAGAAAATTATTGCAACTTATAGCACTTAATAGAATTTTAAACCGCCATAGTTCACTAACAAAGGCCATTAATAAATAATTTTTATAAAGTTTTTAACCGGTAATTTTTCATGAAAAGTATAATCTATAAGTTGCATTTAATTTTCTATTCTTAAGTTTCCTTCCTACTTTTTCAGCAAAAATTTATTAGTTAATAAAAAAATGTGAAAGTAAAAATTATCCTTCTTTCCATCTTGCGCTCACAAATCATTATGGGAATATCTATTTACAGTTACTAAAGCCTGAAAAAAGCATGTCTGCGAAATTATCGTCATGCGATGATTTGTAGATACTTTATTTTTTATCACAATATTTTCGACGACGGTGTTTTTAAATTGCAAAGTTTTTGAACCGCTTTATTTTCGACGACCATATTTTGTACCACGATGTCTTAGAACTGCAATGTTTTCTCTTTGCGATGTTTTCTCCCACGATGTTTTTCAGCACGACGTTTTCGCCTTGCGTTGTTTTCTCCGCGATGTTTTCGGCTGTACCAATGTAGCTGTATACAGTCGAAAGTCGTTAATCCGGACTCGTCGGGACTTCGGCGATTCCGGATTATCGATTTTTCCGGATTATAGATCATCAGTTTAAATCTCGTAAGATGGCATGCAGAAATTCTAAAATTAAAAATATGAAACCGTAATTTATGAAATAAAGAACAATTATGATCTAAAGGGTATCAAAATTTGCAAAAAGAAAAAGCTTAATATTTATTTAACTTTATTAAACATTTCTTTCAATGTAAGTTGTTTAAGTTTTGCTTCGTTTCATGTGATAATACTTTCTCTTTAATTCTATTAAACAGACATAATTTCTTGTTCAGTTACAAAGTTCCGCCGTTCAAGTCGTATAATTGCTGTGTCAAGAACACCGACTAATTTGTCAATCGAAATTTTTTTGTTTTCAATAACCTCTGTCACTTTTCTTCGCTATCGAAAGCGAATTATAATGACGAGGAACTTGTTTTAAATCATATCAAAGACGGAGCATATCGAGATGAAATACTACATTTGGTAAGGAATTATAAGCCAAATAAAATAAAAACATCTGCGCTGAAGATAAGGATAGTGCTGACAAATCAACTTCCAATTCATTAGGCGCCCGCCGCCGAGCAGCGTGTGAAATTGATAAACAGATTTTGGATTTCAAAAAACATACTTTCGCTTTAGATCCTTTACATATTAACAATATATATCGGAAATTCTATTTGATATAATCGAAAGTTTAAGCTTACTTTTATAAAATTGCTCTTACAGTCTGCAAAAAATAATAAGCTGGATGCAATTCGAAAATTAAGGAACAACGCAATCATCAACATTAACTGAAATAGATAATTAGATAATTTTAGCTTATACGTCCATTATACATAAAATGCGCACGCGAAAACGTATTCTGCACTTGCGCACACTCATATGCGCAGTCGTAAAAGGTCTTACGCGCACGCGTGAACGCCTCTGCGCATGTGTCAACGTGGCGCATGCGCAGAAAGTTTTTAGTTTTGATGTCCGGATTATAGATCATTCCGAATTATGGGTGTCCGAATTAACGACTTTTGACTGTAGCAGTTGTGCCAGAACTTGTAACCGTATAAATTTCAGTATTCATTAATTTTGTTTGATTTTTTCTCTTGTGACAAAAAACACAAAGTGATTCAAAAGGTCTTAAACGAAATTGGGTCAGGAATACAAAAAATAAAACATATTTATATAAGAACATATACGTTCTAGCGCCACAGCAATGTGCTTAGAAGTACAACAATGTGCTAGTTGGAAAAATAAAATACAAGTAAGGTAATGCAAAATATTTGTTAGGCATACATACATTTAAAACTGCACAGAAAATGCTCAAATATGTTCCAGCTTCTTACAATTCGTAGCACACCCTCGCAACTTTTGACGATGGAGCGCGCATCTGTCTGGGAATTGTTGAAGAGTACAACTTGAGGGGGCAGTCGCATCACAGCTCGCTTTTTCCCATTCGCTGGCCCATAAGCGAAGTGTATATTTCAAAATTAATAATAATCCTGCTTCCGCAGCATCAAAGCCTCGAATAATACTGGGTCATGCAGCCCATCGCAATTTCTGGCAAAAAGTCCTAAAAGACGTCTGCAGTTCAAGACATTTGCAAGAAGACGTTTGCAAGTGGCAAGTAAGTCCTAGAAGACGTGAAGGTATCGTTTGCTGCTGCATGTTTTTACGTAAAAATGATTTCTTTTTACATTCATGAGTTAGCTTTATAAATATTTCGAAGACTTAAAAACCATTTTGTGTATTTTTTAAAATCGGTTACAGTAACAGAAGTTGTTGATTGATGACACAACGTTATACCTCCATACTTGCAAAATTTTACATTATTCATTATTTAAATCAGTTGTAAATATATAACAGCATAATAATAATAAGCCCACTAACTTATCAAAATAAAGCCCACTAAATGAAGCTCACTTATTTATCAAAAGTCAATTTTAGATCGGCTTTCATTTTAGAGAAATACGTGACACATATCGAGAGAGACCTTTCTTTGGTTGAAAAGGAATATGCTTGTTGAAGTATAGAAAAGTCATACTTTTTCGGAACGTATTGGACATCTCTATAAAACTAAAACTAATCTAACAATGAATTTTGTTACGTTAAATTTTAATTTACTAACTTCTGTCCGTAATTTTCACATATTTTTTAGATTTTATCCGTTTCTGAAAAGACCTCTGAAACTTGCTGCTGGACCCTTTGCTTCTGAATTTTGGTTCTTGTTCGACAGAAGAACAGGTGACATTAGTCACCTTCATGGGCCAAGGTTAGAACCACTGGTTCGGAAGCACGATTCTCACTTCCTGTGGCTGAGTCGTTCCGCTGAACGGCAAGTTAGGGATTCTCTGTTTCAAAAGAATCGCACCGTGGGGTAAGTATCAGTTTCTGTAAATTTATATACAGCATTCCGACAACAATACACTGCATCACAGCTCTAATACCTAAGGATGTGTAATCTTAGGGTTACACTAAATATTAGATAATTTAACTACACTATGACTGAAAAATAGTGTTTTTCAGGAATATCTTTCTGCAGTTTATTTACAAATCTGATTTTTCTGTTTATATGCTTCAAATCTTATTCTTAATGTTATTTATTATTCAGGCGTTAGGTTATTTTAAAGCAATTTAATACTATATCCACTAAAATTAATATTAAAATTACGGTAAAAAGCAACCTTAGATAGGTGTAGAGTTTGAATGAAATTTATTGAGTTTCAAGAGCATAATACACAACCCTCTATATGCATATATCTTTTCCAAATATAAATTTAGGCTTCTTTGCCTATTATTAAAAATTGTAATTTTGCCTTGTTTGAACTTTTTTCTTTTCTCCCCCCCCCCATTTTATAAAATATCATGCAGTATTTTGTAACCCATTTATTATGATTTTAACTTTCCATAGCCCTCACTAGAATGCAGATTAGTTGTTTACTTAAGCCGGGGGTCTGAATGCTTTAGAAAGAGCTTTTGGCAGCCTTGCATTATAGTTACGTTTCTATTGGCAGCTAGCTTAAGTAGCTTATTTTATGTGTGGTTTCAGATTGTGTTACCTGTACATTGAAATTAACTTCCTTTTATGTCATGTTAAATACCAGCAAGTAGCAGAGATTCATCTGTAGCACAAGTAGTGACTTCTTTTCATTTAAGAGTTAAATATAAAGGCTATTTTAACCTTTATACAACTTTGTCATTTGCATTAGATCAAAGCGATAACTCGCCTTCCATTCTAGTGGGATCTTCAGAACACTGAAGTAAGCTTACGGACACAGCAGAAACCTGCAACTATGTCATCATTAAAATTTGTCAACAATGTCTAAAAAATATATTGGTTTATGTAAAAACTAATTATAATATTTTTCAAAATATAAGACAATTCTGCTAGCTTTAAGATATATTGGAATAAAGCTAGCTGCTAGCTTCAAGATATATTGGACCTACACATTAGAAAACCTTACGTATGTGAGCTTGGTATGTTGATGATAGTACGATAATAAACTAATAGTAATATCTTGAGAGAAGTAATATAAATAAATACATTTCTCATGAGTAATGCGAAGCACGCAACCATTTTCGTGCTGTGATGGAATAATCAGTGTTTAGCATTCTTATCCAGTCAGCACTTACGGGCCTAAGACTAGATGAAAAATGAGCGAAACAGAAAACAGGTTCGGATGAGTTCTTTACCGAATTTGAGATTATTCTATTCGATGCGAGCTACCAATTGCTTATTCATAGTAGGTAAGAAAATCACAACAGAGATACATTATTATTATGAGAGGATGCCTTTATGGAGGATTTCCTATGCAAAACTAATTCGCATTCACGTTGTGCAAGGGAAAAACTGCAAGAAAAGCTCATGCATACAATCCGTTCCCAGGGATCAAACCTGGGTTGAGCTTTCAGTGTTCAGTGGTTTTGACCGCTCAGCCATTGATTTAGCCCGTTGATCTTTGTTAAAGGGATCAGTTGAATATATAAACGCGACTTAGTTTTACACCTGCCTCTTAACTGTTTTTCATAATTATAGCGCTGTAAATGACCAAGAGGCCTTCATTCTATTCTTTTTACAAAGTTACAAGAGTTTATGATATAGGTGAAATGACTAGATAGGTTTTTTTATCAATAATTATTATTCGATACTCCTTTTTAATTCCTGTAACTTGTAACCAAGACTAAGCAAAAAAAAAAAAAAAAAAAAACTTCATTCCAATGCATTTTAGTTATTGAAAATTTATCATATATCATTAATAGATAAAGTAAAACTGTTATTTACATTTATTAATATGTAGAGACGTTAGGTTAATTTTGGAAGCCGGAGAGAGGAAAAATTAGCAACTGCCTTCGCCGGGAATCGAACCACGAACCTCTAGAATACTGGCCCAGCGTACAGAATCACTACACCACGAAGGCACGCTAGGAAAGCAAGAGAAATACCTTGTAAATATTAACTTTATACAGGGCAGGTGCCAGAACCGGTGCAGCAGAATTCAAGGCAACAACAATTTTAGATTTAAGGCAACAACATTTTTAGACGTTAGAGAAGCACTCAGCAATAAAATTTAGGAATGGCGAGATTTCTTAGAATTTAATGGACGCAATAAGCAGGAGAATTTATAGAAGTATTTTCGGAATTTAAACTGCGCAGCAGAAATCAGGAAATTAGAAAAAACTGCGCAGGAGAAATTAGGACTCGCAGAGATTGCACCAGGCTGCAAAATGCCTAGGGCGGGTCCTGACGTTATATTAAAAGGCATTTTCTTTTAAGAAGCCTAAAAAAGGTATTGTTTTAAAAAAATAATAATATTAAGCATATAACTTTGAATTCCCAACTGCTTATTAATTTAACTATTTAACATTCCCTTTTGAATATTTAATAAAAAATATCAAAATTATTTTTAATCTAATCATCAGATTGAAGTCAGATAAATATATATATATACATTAGACTGTGTTATTTTCTTATGGTCAGAAAGGTGTCCATCTTCATCGAAAGAAGTTTTTTCAAATAAAGCTTCATGGCTGCATGAAAAGTAAAATTCAAATTTATAAGCAATTTTCCTAATTCTGAAAGCTAAAATAATACGTACATATTCAAATCTCTATATATATTTATATAGAGATTTGAATGATTTGTTTTTGTTCTAGTGCTAGCAAACAGTTTAATTATAAATCGAATGCAGAAAAGTATCGTTCCATTCATTTTTAAGATACTACAGGTACTGCTTCCAGAAATAAAGTATGAGAGAATGTACTATATTCAAAGTCGGCTTCAGCTTTTTTTACTTCCTTGTACGATGTAAAGGAAGTATTGTAATCGCAAAAAATTTCGGGTATCATATTTCAACGAAAATACCAATTTTGACTCCTCTCCGAATCTGCGAGATTTTTGCATGACATCGGTATGTACAGACAGAGCAAAGGACTTAAAAAAAAATAATAATAAAAAAAAGGGGATTCTATAATGACTTAAAATGGGTTCAGAAGAAAGGTTTCTTTTTTTTTTTTTTTTTCGTGACATCTGTACGTAGGTATGTATGTATCTCGCATAACTCAAAAACGAGTAGCCTCAGAATGCTGAAATTTTGTATATGGGATTGCTATAACATGTAGTCGTGCACCTTCCCTTTCAGTTGCAATCAGCCGCTCAAAGCGTACATATATATATCCACTCTTTTACCCGGCTCAGTGAGCTCAGTTTTTTTATTCTTATATGTTGGCAAATTATGCATTTTTTTTGCTTTAGAAATGATTGAATTATGTTGTTCTTATGCTTATGCTTTTATTTAATCTGCATGTAATAGTTGTAGAATTATCAACAATTTAAAAGTTGTTTAAGTGCTACTAAGCTTGAAGAAGCTGCAATTTGTTTATACTGAAACTCTTAGTAGAATAGTGAATAAAGGCAGTTTCTGCACCACCTTCAGTTCAAACTTTCAGTTTTGTGCACCGAAAAAAAATCTGTCTTCTTGGCCGATGGTCAAATTGCTTATTTTTTACCTTCAAACTCTAATTTTAACAGTAAAAATTCTTTTCTTTAACTGTGTTTATTTTTCTCTATTTTACAATTTTCAATGAAGATGTTGAGTTTTTATGTATTTTTGTCAGAAATATTTTTTAATTGAATGAGAAATATGTCTTTGATGAAATAAGTTTATACAGCAAAGAATGTGCATAATTTAATATGCCATACAAGGAAGTCATATGGTGCCCACATAAGATTTTTTTTATTTGCTACGTGCTCCGCCATTAGGCACTACGCGGAAAGGGAGGCATGCTCCGTGGAGGACTTTTGAAGAGAAACCGGCTTGTATTCACGTTACGCACGGGGGCGAAAACACGAAAACGCTTATGCAGCCAGCTTGGTCATCGAAACTCGGAACTCCGTTGAAAGCCCGATCCGAACCTTCAGTATTCTGCTGCCGTTCAGCCGCTGGTGGATCTGGTTCTTTAGCTTGGCAGCGAAATTTCGTAATAGTCACTTTATTTGGTGTTTTTAAGAAATGTCTAACGTGTTCGAAATGGGTTACGGAAAAAAAAAAGAATATGGATTCCAGAATTATTTTAATTTCTTAGGGAGAAAATATTCAGCAGTTTTTCTGAACAATAATCAGTCTATGTTTGAAATCAGAATAAAATTTCTAAAACTTATTTCACACTAGTTAAATTAGTTATGTACAGGCCAAAAACCATCGCACTTCAATATGATGTGATGTGAACTCTCGTAGCTTAAATGATCCGTTTGTGCGCTTGAGAGTTGGTTCATCTCATGTGGAAACGCAACATTTGGCTTTGATATGACGGTTTGAACACATAAGAAGAATTCCATTTTTTTTTCCTGCATGACGGTTCTTGTCTTCAAATCGACAATTGCGAGACTGTCTCACAGATATATGTATTATACTTCTTTTTGTGGTCCAACTTTATTATTTGGAACATGTCAGTCTCGTTGATTGTTTGCTAATGTCTCGTTAATTGTTTGCTAATTCAGCTGAGACTGGTCAGATGAAATAAACCGCTTGTTGTGATAATGCAGATGTGCAGGGTTTTCCCGGATGCACGGTACAAAAGGACATTCTTCCTCTCAATGCCTGAAGGACAGTCTTTGTGAAGAAGTCTCATTTTGGAAGTTTGAAATAATTTAGTTATCTGATTAAAGGATGAAAAAGAAAAAGTATAAGAATCTAGCGGAATCTGATGCGTTATCCATCGTGTTCTGGCCGTTAGTTTGAGATAGTTATTCTTATGTTTTTCTAAATATTTAGATTGAGTTTGTCATATCTTTCTCAGCTTACGTCACAGTTTTTGCTAAGACTGGAAAATTATGCAAATTAAAAAACCTGCGGCACACTTTAAAGGCAGGAATTTAACTCTGGCCTATTGGTGCGTTCGTCGCATTGCCGATGAGAACTAGTTCATCCTGAATCTGCGGAAAGCCAGAAATTAGGAATAAGGTTCGCTGTAGCGTAAATTGCCCACGTGTTTAGCTATGAATTAAAACTCTGTTTTCGACTGATTTGAACTTTTAGCTGTAGATTAAGCAAGATCATCTTTGTGATAGTTATATATAACAAGCTATCGTTTTAATATGTGTTGTAATTTTCAGTTTTAAATCGGCAGATAGCTTAATAAATTTTATTTGGATTTTAATTTGACTTGTGTTTTGTACTGGCATTTAAATAGTTCTTATTTCACTGTTTTAATTTTTATTTTCTAAAGGGCGATACTCACTTAAAAGGTTTCTGTGTTTTAGACGCTAAGCTGATAGTTCACTTTCAGTTAGATTTAAATTACAAAAGGCTCGGTAAGCTGTTTAGGCGTCAACCTAACTGAGGCCTAGTTAGGCAAAGCTTTGACGGTAGATGAAAAACTTTTAGCCACGACTTGCACGATATTCATTGGTCACCATTTTTACGTACAAATAACAATAGATATCGAATGCGTGCAAATACAATAAATACCTTTAGATATCGAAAAACCGCGCCTTTCACATCGTTTTTTAACAACTAGATAGATTAATTTTTTTCGGAAAGGACACAAACATAAGTTTTTCCTTAAAAGCGCTTAAATATTGCTTCGTTAAAAGCGATATTTAGCATGAAAACTAAACTATCGAGTAACAAACGATAAATTATACTTTCAAAAACATAGAATCCAGTAAAAAAATAAATAAATAAATAAAATAAAAATAAAAATAAAATCTGAAAGGTTAAATTCAGATTTTAAATTACGTCCAAAGGGGCGTTTTTTTTTTTTTTTTTTTTTCTTTTTCTTTTTTTTCTTTTTCTTTTCTTTTTTAAATCATTGTGTGTTACCTTTATTTACTAAATATCATGCTCTTTGCACTTAAACCATAAAATTCAGTTCAACAGCAATGTCGCAAAAAAATGTTAAAATGAGCGTATCTTTAGAATTTCCGATACACAGTTCCGCGTGCTGGAGATAAAAAGTTTTTTTTTTTTTTTTTTTTTTTTTACCCAGTAGAATGCTGCCATAGCTCGCTTTTAAATCGTTGAGTTTGTTAATCAAAAATTCGTTAAAGTTTTACAAAATATGAAATCAATAATAAAACAAATTCCAAATTTCGGCTTTCAGATGCCCATATTAGCAGAAGGATTACGACATTTAAAACTGGATGGCTCTAAAATAGGTACCGTTGTTTTATCACAATGCGATAAACTTACATACATTAATGCAGATTCTTCATTATTTAATTTCTTCAGATACAACACAGGGCAATAGTATTTTGTGGCAACGATTTGAAAAGTGATACAGACTTTTAAAGGTTTCAACGCAAAATCGGAAAACGAAAACAATCATCCTTCAGGGACAAGCCCCTTCGGACTAAATAAAAAAAAAAAAAAAGTTTAAGTAGAAGATTTTTATTTTGCAACAAAGCAAAATCGTCTGAAAAGTGTGAAAACAATCTCTGTAAAAGCTTCTTCCATGATCAAGGATTTTTTTTTTTTCTGGATAGCGTTATAAAGTACTATCATTCCTAATTTCTGTAAAGAGAGATATATTCCACTTTCAGCTCGAAAGTCGAAAATGACATCTTTTCGACTTGCGTTAAAATGTTCTATCTGTTTCAGCAGTTACGCACGTGAAAGATATCTGCTTACTTTAAATCTGCTTTTTTATTTCTATCTAGATAAATTCGTTGTTCCTTTCGAACTATGTTTATTATTTTAATAAAGTTTTATTTTAGGGGAAGAGAGATATCTGCCCTGTGGTTTGCATTAAAAGTTCTAGAAGATGCTGGATGTAAATCGTTGAATGTATATGGATTACCGGATCCTCAGATTTGCAAGTTAGTAGCAGAAATTTCTATTATTGACAAATTCTGGAATTTTAATTTGTAGTCGTAAAAAAAGAAAACAATTCAGTAAGTCATGCAGAATCCATGCTGATGAATAATTTTTACACGCTTTATTTAGCTTAATTTTTCTGCTCGTTTGTTTGGGTCACGTTGATTTTTTCCGGTGAGATACTTAATTTTTTTTTTTTTTTTTTTTTTTTCTGACAGAGTGACAATTACATTAGACTCATGAAATTAAATAAAGGGAAAGAATTAAAACAAGCTGGATGAACATTACCTCAGATTTTTCTTTCTGGAGATAATGCGATTATTGCCGAAATGAGTCTTAGAAGTAATTGTTAGTCCCTCACATGAAGATGAACTGTTAACTGGTACATGAAATACAATTAAAGCAGCAGTAATACTCCTTTTAATTAGTTTTGGTAAGAAAAGGAAAAAGGTAATGTAAGAAGATAGAAGCACAGAACCACATAAAAAGTAACCACATAAAAATAATTAAAAAAAATAATAAATAAAAATAAAAATAAAAAACCCACAGAGCGAAGTCTAGAATTAACCCTTTTATAACTACCGTTATTTACATTATAGTGACATTAGGTTTTTTTGAAGCAATGCCCTCGCCGCGACTCGAACCACGGACCTCTCAATTACGCGTCGAGCGTGCTGACCATTACATCACGAAGGCATGCTAAGAAGGCGAGAGAAATACTTTATATACTCCCCCTTTTAAAGGGCGACTGGGAATTAAGGGACCCAATCGCCAAATCCTGGGGTGAAGAATCATCATTCACCACGTTTTAGTTCGGGCGCCAGTGTAGAGACATTAGGTATTTTTGAAATAGGAGATAGGAAAAATGAGCAATGCCCTCGCCGGGACTCGAACCACGGACCTCTCGAATACGCGTCGAGCGTGCTGACCACTACACTACGAAGGGGGGAGAAATACCTTATAACATAAAAGCAGTTATGCAAACACATTCTTACCTGGCTACAGTCGGTTACTTTCAAAGTCCACTAAATGCGTCACATTTGCAGTAACGTTACGTGAATTAGACGCCACGTGTTTAATTACAATTTGATTCGAGGAAAGTGTATTTGTGTTTAAACTTTCTGCGGAGTATTATAGTTTAAAGATTAGGAAGTATTGAGCAACATCACTTAAATGCAGAAAAATAACTGAACCAAGTTTGTTACGTGCTGAAGATCTTTAATTCTACCTAACCGTTTCAAATATTACTGCGTAGTTTAGCTTTGTTTTCTTTAAGATAAAGTATAAGAAATATGAAAGTACGGCAACTGGAAAACGAGAATATTTCGGAAGTTTGTGGTGATAATAAATAATGTATAAACATATCGGAGGAAAAGACAATTAAATATAATGATGTACTGATAAGTATTTCAAGAAACTGATGATGTTAACGTATAAAGTGCGAACCAATCAAATTCAAGACAGCGTACGGGGCGTACTGATGGCTATTTTCGCCTTCGCGTAAAGGGTTAGGGAAAGGAAAAGCTTTTAAGAGTAAATAAACAAGTAAAAACCTGATACTGAAACAAACAAGGATTCAAAAGTTTGGTATGTCAAATTAAAAGTCATTTATATACAGTTAAATCTTCCGACCAATTTTCCATGCAAAATACTGCTTCAGATTGTATTCAAGTTAAAATCATAAACTTGCATGCAGCAACTAATGAATTGTGTGTTATATCTGAAGCTTACTTTACAGTTTCTTCTAAAGAAATATGCTGTTTAATACAAAATTTATTTAGTACGATTAAACGTAGAATCATAGCGTATTATGTTTAGAAAACTGCGCTTTAAATATGGACACAGTTTTCCCTTTATAACAGAAATATCATATTATTTAAATTATATTTACTATGCTGATTGATTCACATCTTTTCGGGTTAATCAAATGGAATTACATTGGAATAATGCTTTATACAGAAATACAGAAAAAGATTTGAAAAGTATCTTATTTTTAGGTTGACTGACTACATATTTTATTTCTGCTTATACTAAATCTTATCTAATTTGCAAACATGTTAACAATATTAAAAGTAGTGTTGAAAATATTTCAATAACAGCACCAATCAGAGTTCTTTAAGGTCTGATATTCTTCTCTACATGTCGTTCATTATGTAAATATCGTTTCTTATTTTAGTTTTAGCCTCATTTATATATTTCTTTTCAGGAGGAGTTTAAATGTTTCTAAACCAAGTTTATATTGGGAGAATTCATCTTCAGTTCTGTGCCAGAATGGAGTAGATGCAAGCTTCACGTCGAACAAAGGTGTGGCACCGATTTCTCATTTGCCTACGATAGTCGAAAGACGATTCCTGCTTCCTTGGGCTAGACAGCACAACTTGGATATCAATTTTTTGGCTCCATCTTGGCCATCCTGATGGCAGCATTTCGTTTACTTCTAAAAAATTATTTATGTTTTCTAAAAGACACCTGTCAGAGGCTTAGTGCAGATTCAATCCGTCCCCAATTCAAACATGACTGTTTTTGAGGCCTACCAGTAGCCACCCGGTAAAAGCTCTGAACACTGCTAGTTCCAGCCTGGGTTCGATTTACCAACGTGGGTTCGAGGGCGAACTGGCTGGTTACATGAACGTTTTCGTGATTTTCCTCGTGTGCAACATGTATACGAGCCAGTTTCCCATAAAAGTCCTCCACGAAGACATTGCTTCCCTTAGGCAGATAGCCCTAGTGTGCTTTGCCATATAATCAACTAAACCAAAACTATAATAGTTGTGTTCCCATTTCAGTCTTAAAACCCGTTTATACTAACGGAACTTTGAGCCCAAGGAAAGCGCGTAAACTTAACGTCTTTTTAATAGAACTAGTTTAAAGGACTAAAGAAATGTTTCACTTTTGAAATTTTAAATAATATTATCGCTTTGCTTTTTTTAAAGGCAATAATTGCATAGATACTCAATTTTGCCTAAAAAAAAAAAAGTTTTACCCTACCCCTTTAGCAGAGCTTTTAAGTTCTCACACTTATCTTGGATTCAAAGTTCCGCTGTGTAAACGGGCCTCTAGAGGGAAAATGTGAGTAACTTTATTTTCAATTCAAGCCGACTGGAAAATATTTTATTATTTCATTTTATTTTAAGACATTCTTTATCAGTGGCGTATCGAGAATTTAATTTTAGAGGGTGCAATAATCATCTTACTGTCAAAACTACCTTTGCGCAATTTTCTATACAGAATTTCACCATTTAAAAAGTGAATTTATTCGCAAAATCATTTTTCTGCAATTATATATGTTATTTAAGTACACTATGTAGCATTAATTTATTTGTATTATTATCTTATTAATGATGAAGTTTTTATAACGTACCAGTCAGTAATACAAAAATACCTATATTATTGAAAAGATCAAAAATATTTCCTCAAAAGCAATTTTTAATTCATACCAAATCATATATTAATGTTAATTTTTTTAGTCCAAAAGGGGCTGTTATTGTCGAAATCGAATTCTGTGTCGAATGACTAAAAATGTGTCCTTTCCCTTTTCATTCGAGCCTGTTGCCATTCACCAAAATGTTAGATATTTATCTTTCCAAACTGAATCTGTCTGTTGTAGATAAAAACTAAACTATTTGAAAGGAATAGATGCAGTTCTTACACTGGCAGCACTGTACGGAATAAAACATTTATATCTCTAGCGCGCGATACTGTGTATCAGATATTCTCACGATATGCTTGTTTATAAATATTTCGTGATTCTGTTGTTGAACTGAATTTTATATGGCGCAACTGCGAAGAACGTGATATTTAAAAAATAAAGTTAACACACAAAATGTTAATTATAAAAACATAAAAAAAATGTTTTGTAAGCCACGTTACTAAGAAAACTGAACATTGATATGATGAACTGAGAAAAAACCGAACAAAAAAATCAAAAAATACTGAAAAAAATGGGAAAATATATGCCAGCATCGAAATTTAAACAAATTGAAATACTGCATCGAAATTTAAACAAATGCTGCTATGCTACTTTCAAAATGTTTGTGATTTTGCTGTTGAACTATATATGGCGCAAGTGCAAAGAAACCGAAGCTTAATGATAAAGCTAAAAAGACAAATAAATTAAAGGGGGGATAAGTAGAGTGAGTGTTTACATGTTTTGAAATTAGCGGATCAACACAGATTTTCTAATTGTTGCCAATCTGTTTGAGTTGTCTGATCATATAAAATTTATAATTAGCAATATTTTAGAATCATTTTATTCTTCACTACCGCTACAAATTAAGAATATTTCGAGTAAGTAGTTTAAAGGAATGCGCTCGTTTCAACAAATCCCTCTTGATATTCAGAATGCTGTAAAATGAATGGCAAGAAATAAAGCTAAAGTAATAGTTAATACCGTTTAACTGAGGATAGCAGAGTAAGAAAATCTCATCAATAACATAGGGAAAAAGAGAAATGGAAGCACTGTTGAAACAATGGGGGCCTGGAGTCCTGAAGAAAGCCAACGGATCGTTTTCAATCTTTTGGTTTTAAAGAGCTATTTCAGCAAATGCGATCTCATTTGGAGCCTGGAACTCGACTCGGAGATTAGAAATAGGACACTTGACTCTCCACGACTTTTCTATGTTCTTTTAAATTTGGATCGTTTGATTGACATTTACATTCCATAACTTACTGGAGCACGTTTTTAACATAACGTGCCCCAATAAGAAGTTTACGTAACAGTAAAGAGGTTTACATAGCAATAAACTTCTTTACCCACATTCGACTACCTTCAAGCATTCATTAGTTGGACTACTACAATACATGTTCATTTAATTGTTTATTGAATAATACGAATAAGCATTAACAAACATCTGCAGCCAGCACTCTTTTTAGTGCCATTATGCACCTCTCCTCACTATGGCCATAGTGGAATTCATTAAGATTTCAAGTAAGTACTACTTCTGTAGAGGAAACCTAATATAAACACAATATAGCGCGTTGGGCCGGCATTAGAGCGGGTGCAACCGGTGCGATCATGCAGGATTTAGGAAAGGCAAATATTTTTAAAATTTAGGAAGGAACTGGATGACAGAATTTAGTCGCAGAGTTTACGAAATTAGTGGATAAGGCAAATCAAAATGGCAATAAGAACATTAACAAAATAATGCCATCTATTTTACCAATTTTTTAATATAAGAAAAAAAAAAATCTCGGGTGGGTGTATATGGCCATTTGAAACCCTTCTGGATATGTCACTTTCCTATTTTCCATTTATAAGTATAAATAAAGTAAGAACATTTCCATTGCAACACTGAGATTGGCAAATATGTTGCTAATACCCACATTCATAGATATGGTTTAATTTGAAAGACCTGCCATCATAATAAAGTAAACCTTTTTCACTCTTCTGAGTTTCAGTATACTCCATAGCTCTTGCAATAGTTTCTCAAAAGAAGTCCTGACGGAACTAATGCTGTATAGACAAAGGACATGCTTTGTCAAAGAGCACGGTCTTTGATATAGTGCTACAGTAAAATTATTAGTGAAAGTTGTCTTCAAGATGAAGAATCACCTGATATTCTGACAACCAACGGAGGATAAAAAGTCATAAACTCGCTCTGGTTTATACAAAAGGGATTGCAAAACGAAAGCTGAAAATGAGAATGTCAAAATATATTTCCTGTTCGGACTGAACTGGAAATAAAACCATCGCGGCTGTTTAGGAAGAAGTGGATAGCATTGCTATTTAATGGGTAAAACTAGTTATTTAATATATATGAGACAAAGAGGTTTCTTCCAATGAGCATTTAATTGTTTGAAAGTTTAAAACTGCAATAATAATGGTAGTGGTCAAATGGCTTCAAAACACTTTTAAAAAATAGGAATTTATTTATTTGTTAGAGCTAAATATTGTTTATTTATTATCATTTAGTTCAAAAATATATTGTGATACAAGACTGGTTTAATTATGTATCATAAGTGATTAAGTTTAAATTACGTATAAATAATTTCAGCGAAAACGAAAAGTTGCATGCTGATTTTATTAATGTATTCATTTACTTCTGATGACTTTGAACATTGTAATTTTTGCAAATTCTAGTATGTTGTCTAGTATTCTAGTATATTTGCAAATTCTTCTATAAGAATTGTATAATAAACTGAAGAGTGTGTAATTGTAACAATGTTGGTCATGGTATTCTAGTTTTCAATAAATTCTGCCATTTTAGTATTGAAAACAAATTGAATGCAGAATTAATGACAAAGCACAAGTTCCGATTGTTTTTTTTTTTGGGGGGGGCCAAGTATTTGTTTTTAGTTTTCTTTTAAAAATTATAAATGAATTTATTATTAACACGTTGATTGCCACGCGAGTTTGTATAAAATCTCCTTTAGGCCACGAGCGCTGCTATGCTATGCGTCAATTGTTTCCAATCGTGAGAGTTTGGAATGGCTAGAACGAAACATTTGGGGCATGCATTCAGTTTAAAATCTTTCCTCAAGAACGAAGGAAATCGAAGAAAAGGTGATGAGAAGCTAAGAAAGGGTGTGAGATTCGAAAGTTATTTTTTCTGTAGCGACAAATGATTGAAATTCTTTGTGCTAAAATGTTTGCTCCAACTTTTTGCAATGGCTAAAAGAAAATAATTTTTAAGTGGATCAGATAGCAGTGAAGAAGAAACTTGTTGCGAAGCTTACAAAAATTCAAATGATAGCAATCAGGAACGGTCGAGATTTTTCAGGAAGATAATTCTAAACAAAATTACATCCTCAGATTCTGATTCGAATATTGATAAATACAGTGATAATAAATATGGTGTACATACTACTGATCGTTTTTCACAAGAATTGATTGTTTAGGAAGAAAGAAACATAATTCAGTTTAGTGAATAGAATGAATTTAGCTGTCGACAACAATTGTTTTCGTTTCTTTCTTTTAACAATCAACAATTATATTTTCAAATACGTCCTTTACCTCGCAAGTACTCAAAGAAATGTCACCCGAATATGGGAAACGCTGCAGTCAAAGTGTTAAAATACTCGTATTTACAGGAGATTAAAAAAATACTTCAAAACTTTTGAAAGCACTGAAGCTATAAATGTAACGTGCTTTATTTTATATTACTTTAGGCTGATTTGAATATGGCAAAGCACACAAGGGCTATCTGCCTAAGAGGAGGGATGCCTTCGTGAACGGCTTTCTAGGACAAACGAACTCGTATATACTTTATACATGGAGAAAACCTCGAAGGCCCCCATGCAGCCAGCATATTCGCCGGAATTCGAACACCGGACCGAACTACCAGTGTTTAGCGACTTTACGCTCGCCCGCTGATGGGCATGGGTAATGAAAAACTGTACCCAGTTTTCATAAAATCACAATGACAAAATTAACTGGAGAGCTTATACTCTTTTACTGAGTCATGTTTTTGCTGAACTGAAAGACATAAATTGCTCAAATCTGATAACTCTAATAAATCAAATCTGATAACTCTAAATAAGTGAGTTGTCTTTGCGAAGTTATTCATCACAGTTGATAATTAAAACAAAGGGGTGGCAGAATGATGTGTGAAATAGAGAATCTATTAAGAAACAGTGACTATGGAAAAATGTTTTAACATTTCTTGCCACGTTAACTTAGTTTTATGTCTAGCGAAGATAAAAGAAGTATTTCATGTAGATCGTATTATTCTTGTACTTAAAGACGGTGGTAAGTATCTTAGTGCGTTTAAAAATCGTGATAATAATGGATTGGGATAACAATATGCTACTATTCATTAAATAATCTTAAATTAATACGTATTAAATATACTTTATTAAATGCAGATTAAATATAATATTCCGTTTCAAACAGTCACTGTTTGTGACTCTGTCAGCATTCCGGTGATTATATTCATACTACAGTATAAATGCTGTTTTCAAAAGGTGATGCCATCTTCTAAAATGATAATTCTGCCCTGACCCATACACACTGCCAGTAGTCTAAGATTATTAAAGACCTCAATGAGTGATATTTTTGATTAATTCAAATTTTTAGAGCACAGTCATCTGATTAAAATAACATTAGAATGTTATTGAATTCCTATTGAACAATGTTAAGAAAGAGAAAAATTTTGTTGCTTTCATTTCTATTTCAGGAGTTATAAAATTATCATTTGAAGAGTTGATTTCTTTGTATTCAATTTTAAAAGATTGTTTTTTCAAGACTGATTCATTTCCATTTCACACACATTTTAAACTGCAGTTTGAGCAATGAAAATAACATTATATCATAAAAATCTGAGTGATAGTTTTCAGGTTGTCGGTTCTGTTTTGTTCACCTTTTAAAAATACTCTTGCAAAGATAACTGCATATTTGATGTGCACAGTTTGAACACATGTTTAATATATGTATATTTTTGAACATTTTACTTGAAAAATAAAAATTTTATTTTTATATTCAGAGACTTTTTCAGTATTTTATATCTACATTTCCAGATCGCACATGATTGAAAAATCATTTATTAATAGTTTAAGGTATTTATCATTCTTTACCAGTTAACGCAGAAATAATATAGTACAATTTCTATATAATGGGCCTAATTAAGGTTATTAGTAATTCCGGTAAGTGCTTTATTCAGTTATATTACTTTGATGTTTTATATTTAAGAATTATTTTATCTAGTAGAGCTTAGATATTTATATAATAGCCTCAGATCTGGTTCCCAGACGAGATGAAAAATTATTTCTTTGAATTTTATATACTGACTTCAAGTGAAGAAATTTTTAAATATCACATACATTTAAATTATGTTTTATGTAACTTTATTTTTTAAACAACAGTATAACTATCTGTCAAATACTCTAGTTTAATATTGGAAGGATTAAACGAGCTTT